CCAATGAATACTACGGTGACGTCCAATCGAGAACGAGGGCCACTTCAATGCTGATGCATTACTTGTGTGATGTGAACTATCGATACCGAGTACTCGCGCAGTATTCTATGCATCCCATGGATGCGTCCCCCCCGTCAGCATTTCCCGACGGAAAACGCGGACTCTGTAGCGAATTTGAAAGTCGACATGTGCAATAGAGGAGCTATTATTGCCCGGGTTAAAGCGCATTTGCAAGTACAAAGAGACCCACGCCCCAGTTACTATTCGTAATCATTAATGTGAGTATATTCAACACTGCCGAGATACACGGAGTGAACGAACGTAATTAATATTAGGAAATGAAGTTACTCTAAAAAGCAGCAAATACTCCATTCGATGAGCGAGTCGGATCTGGATATTTGTACACGGCTCCGTTGTTTAAAAAGGAGTAGTCATAACATCGTTTGATAAAACCCGATCCTTGTGACTATTTTTAAGGTTGTAGCATGTAGCACAGGAGTACTAGTCGGAGTATTTTATTCATATTATTATTTTGGTACTTCATACTTAGTTTGGCGTAGATATTGTTTAGTAAAATTCGTCATGTACATTTAGCGGCTAGCACTAAAACATCTCGTGGGTTTGATGTGGCCGGAAGCGAATCTGTGTTTATCCTCAAAGCATTAAGCCAATTACAGTTATTTCCTAGGTTTTTGCTAAACCTAACGAACACCAGAAGTTTACAAAGAACAACATTGATACATACATTTTGATAGACATTTCGACACTGTAGTTTTTTGTTTAAATTGTATTTTTACGCTTAGGCGCATGATGAACTCAAGTTCCTCAAGCTTGTCAGATCATAACGAGCGTATTTTAAGTATAAGTTAGGTGTGTAGGAACATTCATTCTAATAATAAGTTGTCGTTATCTCTAAGATACTTTTACACTGTGTGTTCTAAGAACCTCGTCTTTCCACAGTCATGGATCCTTCACGAGCCCTGTTATCTATGCAACCTTTCCCTTGATTTTACCTCCAGCTGCCGCGCATTTATGTGACATTAAATAATTTCGTTGTGGAATCCGTGGCGCAAGCCTAATGAGTACCGTCATCGGTTAATTCCTATTGGCTCTTCGAAGCAGATACACTTTTGTCTGGGATCATTTTTTCCACCGTGTTTTCTGCTGCTCACGACCTATCACCAATTCTTTGTACTTTCCCTTGTTGCGTGAACTAAATGGTCCCTGCAATGCATCGGGTAATGGTCAGCCTCAAATATTGCGCTCGAGAAGAGGGCTGACCGCTAGGGTGGTCCATGAAAGTGAGAGGGGTCTTTGTTTCCCATATCCCGTGCGCTGTAGGTTATTTGTTATTGCCGACTTCACGCACGCGCTCGTTATCTATCTCAGAGTCAGGGCTTTTCATTCTCTCCCATTGCCAGCCCTCGTTTTATCTATCAACCGCTGTGGGGAAAGCTAATCAACTATTTGATGCAAAGTGGTAACGATGGCAAATCTCGACTACTTAGCCAGAAAAACATGAAGAGCATTATGGATGTACAGCTAAGCACACGCTCTCTACCTCGACACAAAATTCATATTCATATGTATTGAAAGTAAACCTTAAATTAGTCCAACGTTGATCACACACCAACAAGCAACAGTAATGCATATAGGTTCCCTCAAAGAGGAAGCGAAAACAGGGCAATCATGCCTGACATCACGGCGCTAACAATCCACAAAGTATCTTCATGTCCGTCGAGCCGTCAAAAGCAAACTACATGTGTACTATGTAACTGGTAAGACAACAATTTCGTCGAATTTCCCTAGAGTTTCCGCTTGTGATGATTGTGTTGTACGGGGCTGACCGAGCGGGTATCAGGCGAAACGAACATTGGGAGCTGGCATTCCTCACCGGTGTTCCTTGGCAATCGACGAAAAACCCAATTAGGTGGGAACGTGTTGCTCGGAACCGCGATTCAGCTAAACAACTCCGCGCGAACTGCTGTTGTATCGTTGGACATACATCATACGGTTGTGGGCAGGCACTGCCTGATATTACCAACTGCTGGCTCAATGTAGCTAATACTGCATGATGCTGATGGCGACGACGCTAACCAGGAACCGCGTTTGCACGGTCGATCTTTCCTTGGCTTGATATAGCTACTAGGATCTAAACGCTAACAGCATTAGAACACTTGACAACCGACAGAATCTGTCGTTTACGTGTCTAGGAGAATTAAGTTTGTCTATGAACAGATAACGTAGACCTGGATACGCGCATTGTAGAAAGGCGAACACTTCGTTATACGCGATTTCTATATTTGTTGTGTTCCTGCTGTTAATTACGTAACCAACTCGATTGTAGGAAAAAAACTACTGAGTAAAACTGAACAGGTACAATATATTGGTAGATGTTACGTAAGATAACTTTAATAGCCTCCAAACTTTCTCCTCCTAGTGATTCTGTAACGTTAGTTAGCCATATGCAGTAGATGTTCCGCAATTAACGTTGGTGTCACCAGAGTCGCTGGTTCAAGCTCAGGCAATAGGCCCAATCAAATGCCACACGATGGGTGTAATTAAATAAAGTAAGCATATTGGTCCGATATGTATTTTAACGTTGCCCTAGAAACGCCTTTTAAGATGATTATTCAATTTCGTAGGTACGCTGCGGTATACCTGAATAGTATTGAGATGAAACAGATCCCCACAAACGTCGTTCCGCACGTTTTTTACGTTCCATAATTTCCTATTGGGCAGGATCCGCCGCTCGTCGCGGCACATATTCTGCAGTTCGACCGAAAGTGCACATTTGTACATTTAGACACAACCACGTACCCGCCCGTATACCCACGCAATCATGAATCTACCCTGGTAGCCAGGAAAACCGGCGTCGTCGAAACAGATACAACGAGAAAGACGGAGCACAGAAAGTGGGAGGAAAGGGACAGAAGGGGGGGGGAGAGAAGGTGCTTGGCAAGCGAGAGAATATGTGGGAGTTGTGCTGGGAGGCGAAAGTTCTTCCGCAGAAAGCGAGAGAAGGAGTCTTCGTTAGGCAACGGCCGCCGTTGGATCGGCGGTGCTACTGCTGCTGCTGGTGCCAAGGATGAACAGATGAGAAGTCCCCGATGATCCCTGTTTTCTTCGGTTTCCCTCGACACTGGGCTGCCACAACTCACGCGGGCTCATTGATAATGGTGATTTATGTCTCGCTAACGATAGAAGATGGTTCGAGCGCACCGACGCTATGCCAGTTACTGCTGCTGCCGTTGTTGCTGCTACGCGTTAAGGCAGTACGAAGAGACGTAAACACAGACAGACATACACACAGGGAGAAACACTCACACAAAAACGCGAGCAAGGGAGATCATCAAAACATTTTGTGGTCGTTCGAGTTCGGGTTTGGTTCTTGGACTGAATGGTAATAGTCTCAACCGCAACTGCCGCTGTTCGACTGACTCAGCCAATATATCAGAGCAAACTTTAATGACTTAGCGCTATCCCCTTTTCAATACATTTCCAACGGTAAACGTCCTTTGAGCCAGAGCATTTGGGGGAACATCCCACGTTGTTTGGGCCTAACAGTTAGAAATAATATTTTTAATTTAATCAGTTAATATCTTTAATTATTTGGCCAGAAAAATCGACTGCGCGCTAGCGATCTAAATGAAGTTGATTCTGCTTCCGAGACGTCATCTACCATCGGCTATAAAGTATTACATACGATAGCAATTCTGGTTAATGGAGAAATTAGATAAACATAATTCTGATGTCTCATAACGCCTGTTTGTATGGATAAAGCTTCGTCTTCAGGTACTTCACTAAGCCAATAGCTTGGCTTTTGCAACGATCTCTACTTTGCGCTTGTCTGAATCAAAAACGATATAAAGCTGGGACAGTAGTAACTTTACGTGTACAACCTCAGCTCTAACCTGACCCTCAAATCCGGTATACGTTTCGTGGCACGCATAGTATTTTTTATTTTTCACCAACGATGCCCCTGTCGGGTCTAATTCTAAAAGGCGAAACGCGCTTTCAAATGATGCTTGGCATAATCAAACGGTTTTTTTATCCAGATTCACACTGTGTTTTCCACGTTATTAGTATCATATTGATGCCCTACGTTGAATGTCGCAGGACAGCCCTACCTACATACGTTCCAGTCGTTCAATTTCTGACATTGGCTCCCCTACAAGGATGTAGTTCGTAGGGCTACTAAATCCCACAAAAGAACGGTAATTTGCTTTATCATCCGTTCGGCTTTGCGTTACCGGCAATGGCATAATAGATGAGTTCTACCAACAACTAGTTGACGTCTCACTAGTTGTAACTACCTAGAGCTGCCATATAGCGAATATGCGTGAGTCACCATCTGAGCGCGATGGCGAGACAAAACGAGGCGGTGAAGGCGATCCTGCTGAGCCTGCAGGGATTAACGTGATCGCGTCTAGAGACTGTGCTCTAGGAGACCCCCGCGTTCGACGACGAGGACGACGACGACCCCCCCTCGCAAACACGCAGATATCGTGGCTAGCTATTTCCTGCTGATGACATGTTAGTACTCACTCCTCGACTGCCTGGTTAATTAACCACAGTTTTTCCGGAGGCTGAGTGAGAACCGAGCCGGAGGCCAGCAGCTCCTAGAGCGCTTCTTAGCATTGTCGATTTGATCAAAAGGTAAATGCAGTTCAACTTCTGTTTTCGTTACTTCGGAATCGAATTGACTTGGAAACGTAACTAGCCGGATTTTGTACAACAGGCAAAAAATAGGATGACCAGAACATTTCCTGAGATGAGGTTGTTGTCAAAGAAATAATTTGAGTCGAGTAAACCACTATGGATTTTAAAATTGAGACAAACTTTAATAAAGGTACGATTGATACAAATATTCGTGACAAACTGAAAAATCATAGGTAAAAAAAACGAGGAAGACTTGTGAAGAATTCAGTGTCCCTTTTATGTTAAGAGCTTTGTAGTGGTAACATAGCCATGTACCGCAGGGCTGCGTACGGTGCGGTTGAACAAAGATGGCTATATGATACAGACGCAGAAAGCGAACGAAGCTTGGACAAATGTTTCAAAATCAAGAAGTACAAGTTTTATTTAATGGCTGTTATCATATCTCAGCTATTCGTTGATTTATCTCACAAGCCCGCATTGCTCGTACAAGTCCGAGCGTGGCAGCAACAGAAAGGACTAAACGTCAGTTGCTTTTGCTGATCTTCTCCAATCACACCCATTTCTACAACTGTCGATCCTATATCCTTTCCGATAGGTCTTCATGCGAGAGTCGTCCATGTGAAGCCTATGAGGACATACGATCGTTGTCTTAGATCTCCTACTTTGGGCTTGCCCCATTCTTCCTGTCTATTTTTCGCCGAAGAATCTTCCCAGGAGGGCCATTTGTTGAAAAACAAAGACCCCGGTCGCCTTACATTCGCGCTTCCAATTCCCCATCCCTAACCCTAGGGTCGACCCGATCTCGTTGACCATCCGACGGGCCTGTCCTGGGTCAAGTCACGGCCAACTCGACTGCCCTCCACCAATTCTTGACCTGCATCGCACATCACTTCTTTTGCACTCAAATAGTCCGACGCTCCAGCGCAAACGTCCGGAGTCGACACTTCTCCGACCTATCCTCTTCGATGACTGTGTGTCCTACAGCGCCTGTAGGTTGAGTAGCAAAGTGCTACCAACCTCCAATGCGCCTGCTGGATTGTCCTATACTCTTCTTTCGTATGTTCTGCAGGTGCCCGTGGTCCGTCGTTTATTCGTTCGGCCGGCTGCAGAAACAATGGTGTCGACAAAGGTAGAAAGTAGCAGTAGTCGCAACTGCAGAAGCTGGCCGACCAGTTTGCCTCCGCGAGCGCTGCTGCTGCCGCCATCGCTGCCGTTTCCACTTCAGCCGTTTATTAAATCTGGGCGCGTCGCTGGTGATTTCTCTGCTCATAAATCGTCTGACCCCCTTTGAGCGACGAGCAGTGGTTCCCGGCGGCAGCAACGGCACGAGTGGAGCGCTCGTTGGCACCTCGACCCATTGCCGCCGCCGTTACCAAGCGAAGAAGTAGTGCTCTCTGAATCGGAACGACCTCGGAGTCCGGCGTGGCTAAACTATGGCCGCGAACCGCTGAGTTGTTGGCGCCGACGCCATACGAATGTGCGACTGCAGACAGCACAACGACTACTCCGCTTGGTATGAGGGAACTTTCCGCATGTTCCTAGCTTACAATGCTTCTGCCGTTAGTCTCCATCGTTCGCGACGTGGTTGACATTTGCTTGTGTACGAAGTAGGCGGTGAGTGTGAGAGGGCAGGAGATGGACGTGGTGATGAAGGAATTGGTCGTACCGAAGAAACTTGCTTTGTTGCCCCTCGTTCGTTTCTCGTACTCTACGGGACCTGCGTCGTCTTGAGAGATGATTGTAGATAGCAACTGTGACAACGAATGATCATTGACAGCTATTTCAATAATCACACAGCGCCATGCTGGTTCTGCAAAAATACTCTTGGGCAATAGACGATAAACGGGGACGAAGCAGACGTTTTTATTAGCTTCTGTCAAGAAAATTGTTTCTATTTAGTTAGACCATTAAGATAAATAGCAGTGTTGTTTGAAATCACTTCAGACAGTGTCCTGCCCATAAAACAACTAAATTCTCAGTTACTCACTGCATCGGAAATAGCCAGGACAACTTTATAAATCATTCCATTAACTAAATGCCATAAAGGTTTAAAAAGAAAGTATACGCAAAACATATTGTTTAAAAGAATCTTTATCTGTAATTTTACAAATAAAGATTTTTATATGATATCTTTTACATGTCAGTCTAGCTACTTGTCTATTTTTTGTCAGCGGGCAAACAAATGAAACTCTTCAAAAGCCCCTATTTCACGAACCGACGGTTGCTTTCTGTTTAATTCATCAGTATCCCTGAGTAGTAGAAACATCTGTCTATGAGAACGCAACATTGTCGCAGGACATTACCAATGGCCATGCAGAATACTCCAACCCCGAGGAAAACAAGACCGAAGAGCAGTACCAGCAACCCCACAGATTGTATTTGTATGCATTGACACGTCTGCATGGACGGATCGGAGGCCGCTGCACCCTGCGATCGGTTTATGACCTCCCCCTGGCAATAACTTCACATTATTGAAGGGCTGAGCAGGCCGTGCTGATGTTCCGGTGTGGTCCGTCCGGTATTTCTAGACAACGAACGGGTGGCAAGCAGCCAGCCAGTTGGGCAGGGAAACTCGATAGGGGTAATATGGAACAGGACAAAACGCATTAAATACTCTATAAGAGTTCCTAGAAATTTCCTGTCTATACCTAATCCTGTATGTGTGTGTGTGCAGTAGACACAGAAAGCAACGGTGATCTTCTAATAATTGCAGGCTGTATGACTGAATGCATCTACATCAAGCTTGTTACGCTAGCACCATCTAGACAAAGCGTAGCTTTACGAAAAATTTTGCCAGTGTTTGCCTTCGATAATACGATATCATAATGATGAAAAAACCAGTAAAAATTGAACTAACTATAAGTTGAGAGTTCCTATAGGGACTTTGGTTAAAATGTAAATTAACGCATTCCTGTTCGACTAGATTGCGAGACGTTTTGGTAGTAACGTTCGTTGAGTTGGATTTGCAACCAGGGTTCTACTGTACCATGTAAATACATGACGCAAACATAAAAAATAACAATAAAGGAAATCATTATCTAAGATACCTATATAGCTGCGGTGCTGATTCTCCGTTTCCTTGCATAAATAGGATAAAATCGCCTAAACAGCGTCAGGTGTTCCATTGAGGATATGTTTGAATATGGCTGTCCGCTGCGATCTACGCACTAATAGATCTCCATGTCGAGAAACACGCTCACCTCCATCAAGGCTCCATTGAGTAAACGCTAACAATGCCTGAAGGTCCTCAAAAAGCACATAGGCATTTTTCGCGGTGAGACGGCAGAGTTAATAATAGCGACACCAACAGAATAGTTACATTATGCCATCGCGTAACCTAACCATTTCCCTATGGGGGTTATTTCGCAGTGGTGGGTTTCATATGCGAACTGTCTCTCGCTAACGCTGCAGCCAGTCAGTACATTGGAGGGATATAGCCGCCGATAGAAAGCTGGCCAGTAAGATACCATCATGCTCAGCACAAAACAATATAGTGTACAAGAACAGTGCATTGGGACCTCGTGAAAACGAATACACGCGCTCGGTGGGAGGATAGCTCCGTTCTAATGAATGCTGCAGACGGTTAGAGATGTTGTACGCGGGAAACTTGGCCGCGTTTGCTTACAACGATTACATTATAACACTGAAACGAACCTCAAGGCGTGATCAACTCTCACGTCGCGCTAAAAATCTCAAAAATCGCATCTCAGCAATTCAATATAAAGCAAAAGATTTAACTTGATTTAATGGACTCGAGTAACCAAATGGCTTCGTCGATGATATATATATATATATACCGATGGAAGTCGGTTTGCTTGCTGTTAGCTCCATGAACAGGCCTGATAACGGAAAGCAACACAAATAGAGTTTTATACAACGGCACACATGTTGAAGTCACATTGTCACTTTTAATTATCGGGCAAGATGTAATAGTAGATTACGTATGGCAAGCCACTTTTGTACCCAGACTTGTGGTCAGTACCTGAGCGCTTTTACTTACCTCAAGAAGAGTGCTTTTCAATTCGAGCTTAAGTTATTGGACGAGATCTCCTGCGGTGTCCAACCAAAAGTGACAGGCATCGTGCGATGTGATCTTTGGTTTTCTCTACCCCAAAGCGGGAGATCTTCCGTACGGATCAGCGGCTATGGTTGTTTGTTGGACGTGTTGCTAATTGACAGGTAAAAAAAACGTACGGCATGAAGGGAAAGATATATGAAGCGTGACCCAATCAGCTTTGACTCTGCTGTACTTTTCTGTGGTAGCCAATTCTGTCTCTCATAACAAACGAACGATAAATTTCACTCGTTCCATTTGCTAAAAATTGTACCATTGAGGTATTCGTATCGGTTTTTAGCGTGCTGCGGTGCTGGACAACCTTAGCAAAGGAAGAAATGTCTTATCCTTAAGCCGTCGCTAAGCGTCGTTGTTATACGACGTCGTACATTTTCTATACGTTTATTTATCGAGTCCAACCAGCGAATCGAATTGATCCTTTGAGGATCGCACAAGCTGCATCAACATGACGAAAAAGATGGTGTCTGATGTCAACGTTCAGATCTGCCTTTGTTTATACAAAAGTATAATGAACACTTCGCGAACGGATGTGTTACAATGTATTTTGGTTTAATAATAAACCGCATGTGCGCATAGACTTGCGTGCATTGTATGCATGCTAAGCCCTAATTCCCTTAGAGGTTGCAATTTTTTCAGTGAACGTTTAACACGCGAAACAATCTCACAAGAGCTATGTTTACAGGTGGCGCACGCACACACACCGTCCGCAAGCACCTTAGTCTGATGTTGTCTACAGAAGCGACACCACCGGTGAGAGCGAGATTGGCATCAAGTCGTCGTTGAAGCCATAGATTTAAATGACCCAGCCGCCGACCGCGTCAATATATCAATAGCAGACGAAAATTGCATATATATATACAATAAGAGATTACAGTGGGCGGCAGCCTCAGTGGCTGCATCATTTCGCTAATAAGCTCATGAACGAACGTATATGAGCAAGGCTTACAGGGCAACAAAGACGCGTAAGCAAACCAGGCTCGACAAGTCGTATTTCGACAACTAGATCAATATGTTGTTTCAGTAGACTTTTTTTTTTTTCTTTAACTTAGCCTTCTAGCCAAATCTGCCTTTCGAGTAAGCTGCTGAGTCATTGACGCTAATGACAAGATTTTTAGGTGGAAAAGCAGTTAAGGAGAAAGGCGAACGACACGGGGATCCAGGGTTGGATGTGGGAAATGTTGTACGCTGTTAGGAATACGGCTGTAGAAATCTGCTTATGAAGCAATAACACCGAGACCGGCCAGTACGGAACTTGTTCGTTCGCTCTTCTACGAAGCAACTCGACGTCTCCTAGCCACTCTTGCTAATTAGTTTAAACAGATTACTTTCCGCTGGGAGCAGCAGTCAGTATGGGCCTGACTGCATAGCGTGTGTATGCCTACTTTAGCAGTGGACACTAAATAACATCAGAGCGTTGCGATGCCGGTTTGTTACTTATTGTTTGTGTCGTTGTTGTCAAACTACTGGTAAAAGCGCGCTATTTAAATATACTCCCCGGGAATTATAACCGTATCAATTCTGAAAGGATGCATTCTCTCACTAGGCCATATACAAATAGGTGTGTCCTGGATATCTACAGTGTACACTAAAAAAACCGTACACTGTTAAATGTACTGCAAGGGTTTGGTTCACCCCGCATTCGGGAAGATGAAAATGGCGAATTTTCTTTCCAACAGAACAGAACAGCTACACACTACTATCGTAATGTAACAGCATATTTTGATGAGAATTTTGTGTACAGATGGGTTAGACAAAGAGGTCCTGTAAAATGCCCTGCCCATATTTTTTTCTTGCTCGGCTTTTTCTTGTGGAGATAGATATTTTAAAAATAGGGTCTACTAGAAAAAATCGACGCTGCCGGAAGATTTAAAAACTGCTATTAGACAAAAGTTTATCACAATTGAAACCTTTGTTAAAGTTTGTGAACCAATAGCCACCGTAATCAGCAGTATATTGACCAGAGCGGTAATAAAGTTAGACATCTGCCGTAGAAGGAAAATGTACACATGTCATGTACATTATTTTATTATATGGAAATCAAAATAAACGTTATAATAATTCAAGCCGTATATACATTTTTCAGGACATCTTGCAATTAATAAGTTTGTGCAATACTGGCGGAAAACAATAATCTTATATGTATAATAAAATTTGAAAATCTGCATTCACACATCAGCTTCAATAACTAATACAGTTTTATTCGTGCAGTCCTATCGTATATTCAAATTTATGCAAATACTATACTGTTTTGGGCATATAGAACTTACCGTATCCCCGACCTATAATTATATTTGAAGGTAGGAAAGGCGCTACAGCAGGCTGTATCTTTTTGGCAAAGCTGCGTCAGTTCGTACAACGCCGCTGAAACTTATTTTCAATGATCGATTTTACAAAAGGATGAAATGAAAGATTATTCAAAAGGATGTTGGACTAGATACTCAAATGGATATATTTTTTTAGGGACAGCTTTCAGTAACATCTGCGGTTTTTCAGCACTTTCATAGAGGAAAGTCAGCTGCTATGAGTTGCGGCAGTTAAACAGGATTACCTGCTTGCTGTCCATTTGCACAAACTTCCAGATCGGAAATTTGAAAACTGCCGCCACCAAAGTCTTTGGATTTTCGAATCTTCCTTGGAAGTTCGTAGCTATGCCGAACGACCTTATCATGTATTTTCTATAGTAAGGACATGACAGAACATCCGAAGTCAGTAAACTTTTATGCTTGAAAGTACATCGAGGCATTCGTCTTTATTTGACAAAGGACTAATGGCACCTATTTTCACTTGCGTTCTGCAATGAAATGGTTCTTTGATGCTCGCTCATTTGCGCAAAAAGTCGCAGATTCTGATGGCAGACAAAGTAAAACATAAATTAACAAGCAAACTAACAGTTTAAGATTAGGGTATATTTCATCGTTTGTAGATCTGTCGAAAATGTATGTAGAAATATTCTATACATACTTACCTGCAACTACGGTGTAGACTCATGCGTTGGAGGTCATTTTGTTGCCCTATCCATTCGTCCCCAATATAAGTAGATAAATAAATAAAGACACAAGCATTACTAGAATTTTAAAAGGTAAAAAAAGTAAAATCCGTGCTATCTGCATTTTCGTCCTACCTTGTCCTGCCTGATGGCTATACGAAGCACGTTGTTGCGCCAAATTGGCCATCGATGGTTCCGCAGTTGTTGCGTGAACGTCGGGACACGGCGACCAAGCAATTGGCCCAACAGCTGTGGAACTCGCTTCACAACTACCCATAAGTTCACCTACACGATATAGCAGTTATAGCAATAGTTGGTATTTTTTCCTTTTCTGCGTAGTCCATCCAAGCGAAGTCTTCCCTCTGGACACGGCACACCTCAACACTATATATATGCATATATTATGTATACCGACACTTTGGCTTCAGTTATCAAGCGCTCAATTAGTATCTGCAGTACTAATGCTTGGGTTTTCCTGTCGCGTTGCATCAGAGGCTATGCAAATCAAACAGTGAAACTGTTGTTTTTGATTTTCTAAATGGCTCCTTTCTGTTAATCTGAAATTCTGGCTGTGTTTGAACGCCACGTGCGACGTACGCAACCACGTGATTGTGAGACTCCCCGTTTATCAGGTCGCAGCTCCGGTGTCCATGAAGCACTTACGCTGTCTGAGAACATCAGGAGTTCCTGCCATGCCTCAGTTAGTTGGGAGAGCCCGCCCCGGCCAAGAGCCAAGGCTACCGGCGCATGCGCCACCTCTCTCAGCTGCTGGTTCGAACCACTCGGGAGTTTGGTTCGAGGGTTTAGAAGTGGCAGAGATCAGGGGAGCGGGGGAGAGGATGAACCAAAAGGCTATGCTTACCAACATTTGGCCACCTTAAATAGTGGAAATGAATGATCTTCCGAACAATTAGCTAAGTTTTACTGTGGAAAAAATCATATCGCCCTTCGATCAACACATCACCGGGCTTCGTACTCAAAACATTACTGGAATTCATATAAATATCAATAGATAAAACGCAAGTTTCAAAATTCAATAGTATAGCGCAGCGGGCTATGGTGGAACACGAGTCATCAAAGGTTCACGTCACATTGAAACAGAATAACGATGAAATCTAGACGATATCTGATGACTAGGCCATGTTTACATTTTTATGTTCAGGTTTGTTTTCAGTAATCACGCTGATGGATCAAAAAATCTTTATTTCCTTTATATTTGCTTCCTGAATACACAACTATGAAACAAATTTACGAATAAACCGAAACGTTTCTAGTATTATCAATTAGCACCATGTAAGCAATGTTAACGGTTAGCTAATGTGACCAAAAATGAGCGACACATGTTCACCAGTATTTCTAATGTATTTTTTACGCTATGTCTTCGCACGATTATGCAGAGTTCAAAATACTAGTACCATTGTTATACAATATGACCAATGTGTCGCCATCACAAACTAACTAACCAGTCATGGTTAGATATGTATCGAGATTGGCTGTTGATGAGTGACTGCTTTGGTCACATCGAACTGGGAAGTGGTGCAGGAATAATCAATGAAGCGAATTTGGCTTATTCATCTTACCTAGGGCCATACCCTTCTTCGCGCACAGGGCGCAAGGATTCACTGGTCCATGAGCCTTAAGCTGGCCAACGGATTCGGGTGCGTACCGTCATTGAGTCTGGTCCAGCAGTCAATACAAAGGTGGAGTTCCTTTGGGGTTGTTGCCGCAACAAACAAGACTGATCAGCACGGAAGTTATTCTGTGATATTTATGAAGAATGGAACACGCGGCTTGCAAATAGGGACCACGCCTGGTTAATTCTGCACTCAATCGCATTTCGAAGAGAACGTCGGTCCAATACATCATTGATGGTACGTTGATAGGACCATTTGCTGTCCCCCATTGTAGCCGTCTTCCTTAATCGGAGAGTATGTAGACATACCTGCACTTAATTTTATTTTACTTATATCATTCGAATCAAACCCTTAGACGCTCATGAAAAGTTGCAAACTTAACGGAAGGAAAACAGTGATTTGAACGTTAGTTGAAACTATTCGTTACCTTCAGAGGAACTACCACTTTATGGTACAATAGTACCGCAGGTTGACAGGCTATATGCTAACATAAACTACATTAAACAAACATAAAATACTAGATTACTGGGTATTCATTTAGAATGTTTTTGGTATCATCTTCACTGAGAATCTTTACCAGATTTAAAATCAACTTTACTTCCAATGAGAAATAAAATTATATTCAGTGTTTGCATGTACTATATGATATATTTACGTGCGATATTCTGCAGGCTGGGATACAGGGAAAATACATCTGTTATTTCACAGCTAGCAGACCTGCTTTAATTGAGCCCTTTAGCAACATAGGACCCAGCTATTACTAGGCACGCCATCCGAACAGGACCGATCCCACAGCGAATTCCCACTTGACACATTTCATCACGTGGTGAATAGCTCTTGCAATTAGAATAGGCCGGCCAGTTTGCACGCTTTTTCTTCATAGACATAGGCTCAGCCTTCGCGGTTCCATGTTCTGTGATTTCTTAACGGTTGCTCTCCCGCCTGAGAGTGCCTATTACTCTCCCCTTTGCCGGCCACTTGCGCGCCTTTAGCACACCAAACGTTTGGCAAAGTTTGCTACTTCCGCTGAGGTTAGCCTCCCCTCAGCCCCGTTTCAACGTGAGCGCTTAGAGTTTCAGGTCTCGGGGCTCCGCTTCCCATGGTGGCCAAGCTTTTCCTTGACGTTGGGGCGAATGGATGTGGATGAGTCTTTTCTATCTGAACAGATAGTAAAGGCTGGCAGATGATGGGTAGACGGGGGGGGGGGGGGTAAAGGGATTTAGCAACATCGTGAACTCTCTAGCCCAAGTGTGATGGTGAGCGGACGGTTATACAACACGGGTCTATAGGGCAAATGCCAACGGCAACCTGCATGACTCCCTTGATGGCCGTTCAAGACCTCACAGTTTGCTGTAACTGCTCGACTTTCGACTTGTAGAAAGTTTGGTCGAACAACTAAAGCCAAAACCAAGATATATGTATATAGGGTAACGCAAGAATCACGCAATTCAATAGATGCTCCTATTTCTTAAAAAAACACTAGATCTGAAAGGTGAGGAAAGAAGAGAATAAGCTAAGCTACATGTATATAATTGCTGCACTGTTTTTTAAAGGCTAGTGTTCTGTTTACCTACATCAGCCAATAATAAAGAGACCCTATCACGCTCTTCTGCCATTTTTCGAAAGTGTTCCTTCAATTATTTTAAATAGGGAAAGAAATAAATACCACTAGACAAATAAAATTGGTAACCAACAATTATTATATCTATGACAGATTAAAGGCAATCTAGTCAAAGTAAGTGATCACTATCATTTTTCACGTAGCACGTCTTGTTTTCTTAGGGTACTTAAAACTCCCTTGAAACAATCGTAATAATTGAGGCTAGCTTTCGCATTTACTGTATTTTATTGAGAAATCGTTTCCGCTCCACTGGACGCAACTCTGCCATCCCAATATAAAAATATGCATACATCAATTGAAGAAAAAAGAGAAACTCTTAGGCTTATGAACCAAAGAGAGAATATTTAGTAGTATCTATATATTGTTGTCAGGAAGCGGCTCCTGATCGTTCTCAGCCAGAGGAACCACTTAGGCCACCTTCATATTACTTTTCCGTTAAACGAGAATTAGTGGCCGCAATCGGTTTGATAAACGTTAGTATCTTTGTAGTCTTCAGTCGCATTTGCAGAGGGCTTTTATTTTTAATCTATTACCATTGGGAAACACATCAGACTACACAGATGTGTATAAACACACACGCATGCACGTACGTGCTGACATACAAACAGAACAGAGATAATTTTTTTTTGCTCTCTTTGCTTCGCCATGTAGCCCCTTTTTTGATTCGCTGTTCCTAGAAGCCTGGAGGAAAACAGGCCCCCGATGAACAACTTAGCCTTGGAACCTCTGCAGCATATCTGTCCCGTTGCTTTTACACTCTCTTCTGTTTGCTCGCCACAATTATAATCCTTTTCGTCCTCACTGCTGTTCTTTCCATATTCAACTCACTTCTTCTTGAACTTAATGTGTCATTAAATTTTTACGATAGTCTAGCCAGGCAGAAGGGCAAAGAGGCTGTTCGCTTGATGTTAAGACTACTTAGGTACGAGATAGCGTCGGACGAAAGCCGCCGGATGACGAAGCTCACTGGCGCTCAAACTGGAGGTCTGCCACTGCAACGATCGAGGGTACCAGCAAATGGGTAGCTGTAAGCGAACTCGAACTAATGACTCTAGCAGAATTGTTAGCTAGGGTTACCACCGAAATGCGTGTTTTTACTGCTGTCAAACGTCTAGGCGAGTGGCGCTCGGAGGAAGTGGAGTGCGTGTTCGGTTTGTTTGTTGTTCCGGGTGCCGGCCGATCATTGCTCATTCCAACTTCACTCCTCTAACAGAGCTGAAGTTTCCTTCTATCTCTTGTTTCGCTTTTTGAGTTTTGCTCTCTGCCCAGCCCAGTTGATGCACGATGATGCCGCTGGTTGAACCTGTCTATAAGGCGCCTCAAGAACTAAGCGAGCAACGACAAAGGACCAGACGTGCGCAATGAGAGATGGAGAGTTGAAGGACTTGTTTATTATTCACCGATACCACGGCAAAGGACAGCGGCAGTTATAGCGGGGCATTACGCGGGAGTGAGTCAGCGGAGGCGTCATAGTCGTCTGCGAATCGCTGCCCAGATCAGTTCCTGTATTAATACATTATTTCGGCGACCGGAACGAATACAAAGAAGAAATCTTGTGCTTAGTTAAGATTTGAAGAGTTTCTTCACTTACCCAAATTAAAGGTAAGTGGGGTCGTAAAGAAATGGCATATTCGTTTAAGGATTGTATCGACGGGGCGGCGAAGTGGACTGCGATGAACAGTGCATAAATTTAAATGTTCGGCAAACCACTAGATTAGGTTAGGTTCTGAGTTAGGACTGCGATGGAATGCGATGAAAGGTTTTAGTTATCTTACTGTATTTTGGAATCAATACTGTTTACATTAGGTTGTTAGTTTTTGGAATTGTGAGTTGCAGCCAAATGGTCAAAGGATCCATCATTCATTTCGTCAGTTCCTAGGCTGGAGATTCCTCAGTGCCGATATTGCTGAGATAGTCTGTCTTTTAGCGGCCCAGATGTTTGCTGCATTTTGCATAGCAAGTAGGTTCTGTGCCGTAGATTCGCTGTTCCTTTTCGAATGGGCCGTTCCCTGCCACTTCAGATATGCTGAGTAGCAGAAGAAAGGGATATTTTAAATTAGAAAATGTATCACCGTTAATACAATATCCGGCAAACGTGCGCGCTGAAAAAATGGTTATTTAACTATCGTTTTGCTAACTTTATTCTGAATAATAATATTTACTATGACATAATCGGCACAACAAACGCCATAGCGTTTCATTAATAGGACACTATAAAAAAAAATAAATTGTTTCTTCTATTGCTAAAAATATAAAAAAAAAACTCACATAGCTAATTATATTTCATTAGGCCGTCCCTTCTGCTAGCTGAGTCTTAAACAAGCACGTACAAATAACATGTACGCTATGGTCTTTCTGCGGATATACTTCATGATCCAAACGTGTAATTCATTAAACCTAGTTTAGCCCTTTGCTTAAAAAATGATTTAGGAACTATCCATACTTTTCATTTTTAGCGGCTTTCCAATTATTCGGCTTGTTAATAATCAGCTACATTGTTACGGTATTCAAGCAATTCAGTTGGCCTCTAGTTGAACTACGGTTATGGACGTTTGTTTGTTCGACTTTCTCGATCAAAGACAACGCGTTCGACATATCTAATCTTTGCTTAGCTGATCAAAGCCCATCTTGGATACTACTTGTTCTTTTGCTTTTTTCAAAGAACATAAATGATCCAGTACAATTTGGTCAAGTGATACTCCGTGAACTACAGTTAGGCTATACCCGATTCTGGCCATCTCTTGTGGACACTGCGCATCGTATTTTCTTCTGTTATAGTTGTTTCTTTCCTTCATTATTCAAAAAGATTATGGAAAACACGTCGTACAGTCGTTGACCTTTAGGCTGCGGGTCTTTCCCCAGCGTTTTTCGTAGAAACACCACTCTCATCTCAATGTTAATCCGCCCTTTTCCATCGACTTATATGTCAGTGCTAATACAGACGTATGTTAAATCAATGCCTCCAACTTCGTTCGGTGTTGTCCTTACAAGTTCAAGTCTCACTCACATTTCCCTGACATTAATTAGCTAATTAATGCCCTCCCATATATATAACCTACGTGGTCTGTTCTGTAACTCTGATAACTATCGCTCTAATTTTAAGGGCAAAACAATACAATTTACCGAAGAACAGATTTTCCGCGCTAAAGTTCACAGAAATAACAATGACACTATTTTTAACCGCTTGTCCCAGCTGAACTGTTCATACAGTGGCTAACTAAAAATCTTCTCTATTCCCTTCTTTTAGCCTCAAATACGAAAAAAAAAAAAAGACGAACTCTATTTAATAGTACCCATGTGGAGGTGTTTTATGGCTGAACGTATATGATGAAACGCATCCGAGTAAAATATTTGAAACTCACTACTTTTCGTGAAAAATTTTGTCTGAAATTGGTCAAACTTTGCATCCTCCTTTTCTCCTTCTTTATTTTGCGCAGTAAATCAGGTAAAACAATTTGTCTAATTAGTGGATCGTACAAGCGCTCATGACGCGCAGCTGCTAAGAAAATCATGCGTTGATTCATGCTATACAACCGTGTCTAACGATTGCTTGCGTCACGTACCGAAAGCGCGTTCCATCGGCAATTCTCTGTTCGACAGAGGCATATTTACTTTTTGAGTATCGAACAACCGTACAGGTAGCGCCCAGCAACGCACAAAGTCCTCTACCTTATGGGCTTGACTGTAGACTGCCCATATACTCCTCATCTGTGCATGTAACTCACTATTCGATGAGTGTTTCTTCCTGCCGGTGCAGCACCAGAGCTCCGAGTTTGGTATTACTTTTGTGAACTTAAACCATCATCGTTAAATATATCTTCAGAAGCTCTTTTAATATATGCTTTGCCTTCTCGTCCAATTATACACAAGCAGCGCGCGCCAGTTGAATATTTACTCGAGGGGTGCTTATAACTTGGCTGCCACTGACTAGGCGTAACATGAACCGAGCGGGCCCGAGGGCTTCCAGCTATAGCTGACGCCATGGGGCTGGCCACAGCGTCAGCTCGGCAAAATGTGTATCTGTGAAAAAAAAATAGCTGGCTTTAATATGTTTTGTACGAAGGAGTTACAAGCCGAAAACCGATCGACACGTCAGGAGTTGAATTCGGATCAAAGAATTCAATCCGACAAAGTGAAGGGTTTGCCTTCCAGGAAAAGTCATAGTAAATGCTGCTGAAACAGCTAGTGAGGATTTGAGGTGACTACTTGTGATATAATGTACATATATCTGCGAAAGTGTATAATACATACGCTTTCGTTGGACGTCAGAAATCAGACTTTTTGTTAGCAACGAGATAATAGTTTATTTCTGTCGCTTTACACTTGTTTTTATTTTTTTTCATGTTTCCATTAGTGGTAAAATGGACACCATGACACGATTCACTTCCAGTGCGGGGGCATAAGTTGTCCGTAGTAACATTTAAAAAGTAGGTAAGAAAAAATTTATTACAGGATGGCAACAAGAAAAGATGAGAAATATTCGGGTTAATGATGTCACTGACCGGACTGGAGATATAACTGCTTCCCACAGGAGAGTGAGGGACCGCCAACGTCCACACATCAAACGGCGTGTCCATAAATGAAACCCTTTTCACTACACCACAAACGTCGTGCCCCCGCAGCCGCTGTCGTCCGCTGTAACAGTCACGAACGTAGATAGAATAGGACTTTTTGAAAGCGATTTTCTGACGCGTTTCAATAGGCGAACACATTAGAAACATATATGTGCAACGGCTGTGTAATGGTGGTTGCAGTGAAGATTTAGCAACGAATGATTAGGGGAACGGCTGGGAAGAGAGAAGCTAGAAGACTAAAGTTGACTGTGCAATTTTAGAGATTTCAGTGGCCAGAGATGAGTTGTTCGGATAGGACATTATTGCAGTTTATCGCGGTTATTTTTGTGATTAACGTACATGCCGCTATGGACCAGGATAGGTTTGTAAGTGTCTTGTGTTCGCTATACTGTGAGACATATCTTTCAATATTATTGTTCATAATAACGTATGTTTTTGATCTTTTTCATACCCAAAAACAATAATGTTTTTCAAATTAGCTAATTGTCCCGTCGAAAAGCAAAAATCATAAGCTTGGCATGTTCATTTTATAGGGTATTTAGGGCCCGATAGTCGTACATTAAAATATGACCCTTATCAGTATCATTAAAACTGAATATGCTATAAAACCAAAGTCAAGGAAATAGACAAAATCGCATAAATCGTTTTAAATCGAAGTCCCGTCAAGATCTGAAGTAGCTGTGGCTCTGCATCAAGTCACAATTGATGCAGTATTAATTTATGGACTCAGCGATGTTCTGCTCATAAAATTTCGTTCGAGTACAATGTGCTGTTTTCATGTAAGCAAGATCATATTAGGTAAATTATAATGTATTTAATTACTGAGTATTTATCTTCAGAATCCATTCGAACAAAAGGATATCTCGCGGGATCTAAATGGGGTTCTTTTCACGGAAATTAAGGTGAGTATCGTCCTGAGTGTCCTAGGGTCTTTCAATTTGAGACAACTTCAACTTTTCGACGTACTCGTAGACATATGCCAAAGTATACTTCACTTCTACTATAGCATACGTTTCGTCAGTAGTTTGAACACGTTAAGATGTGCGCCAAAATAGTATAGTTCTGTTCGCAAAACACAATATATGATTTGACGGTTACGTATTTTCTGCTGTCTGCTTTAGAACCTGACCGTCGGTGAGGTCTGTCGTTGGAACCACCAATGTGAATCAAGCTGTTGCGTAGAACTCGTCGACTCCCCTCAGGGGCGTCAGTGTGCAAATCTTGGCACGCCTGGCAAAAGGTGAATTCTTTTGAATTTAAGAAAATTGAGTCCGGATTCAAATCGCGGAATATTCTTCTCAGGTTAAAAAACCTGGACCTAACGAATGTGCTTTCTGTGGGTAAAAGAAAGTGGCCAAGAATATTACACTATTAAAAAAGCTTAATCTTTGTTACTTCATTCCATACAAAGCTGTTCCACAACTAATGTAAAGGGAGGCTACTTCGTGGGTGCTTGCCCCTGCATTGATTCAAAAGGTTTGTGCCATTGTATTTCGGTTCTCTGTACTATTTTAGTATTCTGCTCCAATATTGCCGAAATCATTTGTTCGTCAGCAAAAATTGAAGCGACATAACGGGCGTTAACCCAGGTTTGAAACGGGCGGTACTAAAGAAAAGTTGAGATATCGTTGAGGGAACGCTGCAGGGTACCGATGATGAACCGACGAAGCCTTGTACCGCAAAGATCTAACTTTAATCTACTAACATTTTGTAGGATGCATCCGGCTTGAGACATCACTTCTAGGGCAGTGTCAACAATCAAAGGTCGATCAGGTATTTACATGCAGAAATAAGTAATTAGGGCAAAACGAGAAACGCTCCTTTCGAACATGTACGCCTAGGATATCTGCACATAACCATAAAATAAACATTGTATCTAAATAGAAGTAGAATAGATGGTTAAATGTTCTTATTTGAAAAGCACCTTTACTTACACATGGGAATTGAGTACATATTTAATGGAATTTACCTGAAAAACAGTTACCTACACCCACATATCATATATGAAGATCATGCGCGTAGGTACATTTACTAATGCTTTACACATAAATGTTATTGATAAACTTATGCCTCATAATAGTTTTATGTCAGTAATAATAGTAGTCAGAGATTTTTTTTTTCGAGATTATTTAACTTCTAATAAAGCAAGCATCTAGCTCGAAGCTTAAACACTCTCTCGAATACATACTATCAGTATTTAACGGCAACGCCACCGGAGCTTTTGCGGCGATTTTTTCCGAGCGCGTTCAATTGTATTCTTTTATTTTTGTAGGTGATTATCTATGCAGAGCAACAATATAAAGTTAAGTGGATCATACAAGCGAGTGTATACATTTGGTCCTTTTATAACAAAACATCCAAAGAGTTAACTGATCTATATAATCGCGACGCTGACTAGACGAACAATGTGACCGCTAATATCTAGCTGAGCTGTCGTTCATTCACCCAACGGCGGTAAACATTTCGTGATTAGAATCGAGTGCGGCATTTTTTCGAAAAGCTGAACTTCTCATAGATTTATTTCATTATGGTCATAGTTAAAATGACTTTTTCGAGTGATTTCATGAGAACCGATTTTTAAACGTATTCATGATATTTGAAATTAGACGAAGCATAATTGTTTATCATAAGCACAAAAATGGCATATAACAACATGAAAGATACAATCTTCGTGGAAACGACAGGTAAGGTAAGAAAGACATAATCAAGATTTGTAGTCAATGTTATTGGTTTATCACATTAGCACTTTCTACAAATTCCAGGCGAAAATACTGAACTTCGATACTGTTTTTTTTGTTTGTTGTAGGATGTTACAATTATTTCGACGACGGTGCAACGAACACGACCTAACAATTCAATAGTAATTAGATATTAACCAATATTTAAATTGTACAATTAGGCGCGAATACGATATTCGTAATGGCCAAAAAGTGGTCGGCGGCCGTATTTATTAGTGGCAGAGTGAATTGAACGAGAACGGCGGTTTGTTTACCGTAACGTTCCAAACGTTATCGTATATTTCCATTGTGATTATTTTATCTACGTATTTATGCACTATGTAAATGTTAAATAAACTAAATGTCAGTACTTTGTCTTTCACTTTTCATATTGCGATTTAATAAATTAGCCATCGGTAAGAAATGATAGATTTTTTCATTTTTAAAGCCTTCTATTGCTTATTTTATCATCTGCATGTGATGTCGTCTGCTATCATATGCGTCGCAGTGCGTTTGATTAGGTAACGCTTTATAGAATATTTGTAAACATCTACTGAATCTACATTGCTCTGTCGGGATCTTAACAACCATTGATTCAACATTTCATTTTTATGCACTTAGTTAGCAATTAATAGCCTGAGTTATTGCAATGACGTTTGGAGTTTCTAATCAAAGAATGTGAGACCAGTTTAACTGCGTCCATTCGGAGACGTCCAAACGAAGCATACAAATTTGAAATAAGAGAATACGAGCCAGTACGTAAATGACCACGAAGATTTCCGAGACATTTTCGTTTTTCGTCTCAAACTTTCTTATTCTTTTCGCTTTATATCTATGTATATATAATATAGAAAATGTCGGTACAGGCAACAGTAGAGGCTGAGCCAAATTGACGAATTTACCACTTTACCTAACAGCGCACCATTGTGTGCTACCCACCTTTCCGACCCAGCTTTACGCAAAAGCACGCGATTGTTCCGATACCCACCACTCCAGTTATTCTCGCCGTCCGCGAAGCGGCAGAATGGAAGGCACGAGTGCTGGGGGAAACCTAAAGAAACGGGCAACTCTATATATCTTACATTCGTTTTCTACTGTACCGATATAGGAAACGGGGAACAGGACCAGTCCTGCATATATCGATTCACATATGTGTCTATACTGGACGTTAGTGGAGATCAGGCGGTGGTTCGCAGCCTTTTACACTGAACAGCGTTGCACCGCCATACGACTAGACTCGCCTTGTGAATGAATGAATGTAAGAACATCGCACCTTGAATAAAAGTAATAAAGGTTTCATATCTAGCCGATACGGACGCGCCAATGACAACGCGGAACCTAGCACGGCAGGAAATACTCGCCACTTCTTCGTCTTCCTCTTTTTATTCTCCGAGGGTATGCCCTAGCCGATAGGTACCAATTGCACAAACGCGCTGGCGAAAAGGGTGCAAAGGAACCAATGTAGGCAGAATAGGCAGAAATTTGCCTGGCGTGGCAAGCAAGAAGGGCCTGACGATTGCGATGTTGGGCGGGGCTTTTCGGGTGTGACTCAATAGTGCGAGGACGAAACACAATTGGTTCTCCTTAGGGCACACGGAGCAAGGGCGTTACAACTTCTCCAAGAGATATTGGAACTGGGGAAGATGATGAGGGTAGGGGTGTGATCCAGGCTCTCAATTTTAGCAAAATTTGCTGGTTGCGGTAGCACCGCCGACGGTAAGTTGTCGCTGGATAAAAATAGCAGCTTAGATACCGATAGTATCCAAAATAGAAGCGCTTAGAGCGCCGGCGGCGTAATGATAAGGTGAACACGATGGATATCCACGGACCATTCGAATCTACATTTCATTCTTTTGGTTCTTTTTGTGTAAAGCATCCATGTCTACTACAAGCTTATCGGCAAGGCGTATAATTGCGCCACTTAAGTAGAACACTGTTTCGCCTACAAACGATGCAGCCGATTGGGGTATAGGAGTTAATTTAAGGGTGGCTTCGTACGAATAGAAATATGTCGCTCAAGTAAACGATAACGACCTTATTGGTCAGGTTGGAAATCGTGATCGTAATGGAAATATTCGTTACAAGTTTGGCCTGGTTCGGACTTGGTCTAAGGAGACCCCTAAGGAGCTTCTACATTCGTGATACGTTGTACGATGTGAATTTTTAAATAGAAACGAGTTACAATTACTTTGTCTTTAAACTTTTCAATACAATGCCTGTGCTATATACACTATACGATGTTTGCATAGTCGTTGCATCCGTTCGGCTCCGTCGGAGGAAATCCTGGGCCACGTCGGTGTACAGCCTCTTCGCGGATTTAATGTGTCATTAAAATTTAACGACCATGAGGAGCACAAAGGCAGGATCACAGACTTAATCCTTCCCTGTTTTTCTTTTAGTGCGAATCATGATAGTTACGCCAACAACAACGAACAGAAGTAAAGTCGAGCAGCTAACTGTCTTAACACAGAATTAATATACAGTGTGTTAGGAAAGCTACCAACTGTACGACGTTTATGGATAGAGTTTTTCTAAAGCTACAATGTCAAATGCCCAAAGAGAATTGTAATTCCATAGCGCTGCGAAACATTTATAGCGTATATCTGCTTCCCAGACGTCTTACCCAGCATCTCAATAAGGGATCACGTAACGTTCTCAAGCACCGAAGGCTGCTATGACTTTTTAAACACACCGTAGCGAACGATCTGCATTTGCTACACGCTACAAGCCTGGTACAATCAAAATACTACTGCGCTGCAGATAGAGACCCGTTCGGAGAAAAGCAGAAAACGAGATTTTGCCTTTACTCAATCGTCCCTTCATGCGCGTTGCTTCCCTCTAGTACGGTACTAAGTAAGTAGTGGGTAAGGGTAAGGCTGTTAGCTGAGCCCGTTGAGTTTTGTGTGCGTTACGACGTATGTTTGTTTGTTTCTTTTTTGATTATCCGTCCCTGACGCTTCCGAGAATGTCAAGTCGAAGCCAACGAGATTGAACTGTGAAAACTTTCCCAGTCTTTTGTCTACAATCATCACTAAGCGAGCGACAAATTGTGAGCATGTCCCGATCAACCGTCAACCTAGACGAACTGATCGAGCTGCTGAATTAATTATTCAAAATAAAGATATTAGAGATACGAAGTCAGTTTTTATTTCTTTTGTTTTTACTTGTTTGTCACTGAGACCATGAAACTGCATTTGTTTTGCTATCAAACGTAAGTCTGCGATAAATGCCTTTAAATAGAGGACAAAAATATCTGAAAGTGGCTCCTCTAATTCACTGACGGCGGCCTAGTTGATCACTATGGAATACCAGAATTTTTCAATGCAGAGGTATATTTGACATCATAGGCGCAGAACTTCTTACCAGCACGAACCTGCACTGGCTGAGTTTCGTAGAATGATACGCTGAGTACTCTCCCGTTGAATGAAGTAATACCAAGAACTGAGCAGCACATTCCACTATTTTGTAACTAGAAAAAACATCTATAAATTAATGTACTCATTATCAACGATTCATCTTCAAAAGTGTTTTTACTACTCGAATTCGAACACTCTATGCTGAATTAATGAGCAATCATGGTGGCGAAGTCACCTTTTTGACGGTTCCGACGCTTCCACAGGGAGAAATAAGAAGGAAATGAGCAAGCGTTGTGAGAAAATACAATAATCCAGTTGATAAAACGATTTTGTTCTGCTGTAACTGTATCCACAAAAAAAGCAAAAGTTCAGCTGAATTGCTTTCAATGGTAGCAGATACGCATTGCACATACTTTTCAACGCATTTGCACAGATCTATTTACGCTACAGGTCGGTTCTTCTGTCCTAGGGGCCTATCATCGAAAACATTGCTTGTGAATGATATAAAAATAAACTAAACAAACGGCCTAGAATGGGTGATTTTGAGTTGCGGAGAGGTCGATAACTCAGGAACGATAAATACAATCTACTTGAGAGTTTTGAGATCTGACTTAGGACTGTTGTAATGTTATACTGTTATATATACTATATATGTTATAATGAAATACGCAATAGATTCAAGAATGTTTTCAACACGTATATCGTGCACATTTTTTGAGTATTATTTATTTCATTTAAGTAGATTTTCGCATCTACATATGCATCTACATACATAGACTAGGTACTTAGTCTAGACTAAAAAATTTAATGTTTAATGAAAATGTTTTTGGCTTTATTTTTGCTGAACTTTTTATAAATAGTTATAATAATGTTTAATATTATAATAAAATAGTAATAGTAAAAATAATTAATTTTTTAAGTTTATAATATTATACACAAAATGAAGCTGTTCTAAGCATAATTGTAAAGTACGTTTAATTTGCAAACGTAAATGTTTTTGTAAGCTCACTTCATCAACTTTCGATTAAATTCATAGAGTTATAAAGAGACGTCTCTATAATAGTTTCATACCGCACAATTCGACCTTCGACAAAAGACGTACAACGCTTTATAGATAATAGTAACAAAAATAGCATTTATTTATAAAAAAAACTTCTGCTTCGCATTCACTTTGTTTGCACACACGATTATCCTATCGTCAATATTACTTTTATATATATATATATTATATATATATATATATATATATGAAACTGCACGAACAAGGAACCCCCATGTCATCATTTTCATTTTGTACTCCTTAACCAACACTACTAGCCATTTAACACTTAGGAACATTATCCACAATCAACCACAATAGCTTTTTACTCTGAACTCTCTCTCCCTTTACTTTTTTTTTGCCCAGACAACCCTTTAAATTTTAAACTAAGTTCGCCTGTAAATAGAGTTTTGGTCAAAAAGGCTTTGGTGTCTGGGCTGCCTCTGCGAATTCGGTGGTTATTATTACGGTTATGGATGCACGCTTCTTCTCATATGCATAAGGATGTATCAGCCTGAGAATGCAGCATAAAGCAGTCCACAATGATTGCCAGTCGACGTATCGGGCTCTTCATCGTTTGAGTCTTGTTAGAACATCATTTGATTTTTCATAAGCGAAGGTAGCATTTTGCATCCAGTTTTGCATAATTGCAAAAAGTTCACATGTTTCTAGTATCTACATCTTCCTCCTTTGAAAGTGACGTGTTTCTATAGTATCGGCGTCATGGGGCAGCCTGATACAGAATGACGTCTTCACTTCTAAGCTCTAAAGAAACGCCTACTTTCTTGAAAGATGACTCCGTTTTGGTCTATAACAATTTCCGAGTCTGCAAATTCGAATAGTATATGCATGAAGAAACCTTAACCAACCGTACGTATGCTACATACGTGCGTATCATTATACAGATTCAGCCATAGAAACTTGCACCTAGTAACAACTGCTTCTCAACCGGCAGACGTTCTCTTCTTTACACAGAGCAACATGGGCAATTTTGAAATACTAACATCCAAATCAATTAGTACGAGTGTAAGTAAACAACATGTGATAACAGTAAATGACTCAATGATCCATATTAATTTTAATAATGAGTCCATTATTTGTCATATACTGAAACTGTAGATAGAGGAGAAAAACATCCGTGAATTACACTATCAGTGGTCAACGCAAAGCGCTCAAACAATAGGCTCATATTACTGTTAAAATCATTATTAGATGTACTTTTACGAATAACAAAAGTGCTACCGGTTTCCACGATTTGTCATTTACGATCGTCTGCTAATTTACAATTTATATCTTACTTCACATATATATTTTTTTGCTATGCACTACGAAGGGCAACTTTGTAAAAGCTATCCGCTTTCAAATAAAGAAATCGACTGTTCTGAGTTATTTAAAAGCTAGGTGGTATTAATTGTGGCCTAAGTTCTCTCTTCATAACGGAAGCGTTCCCACTGAAGCTTTGTGCATTTATGGCGCCGGACATGTTCACTCGATCGCTCGACGCTGCGACATATGTGAATCGTCTCCTACTCTCACTTTTCAAACGTTCTGTATCAGTTGAAGTGTACAAGAACGATTTCATCCTTTTGACTACTAGTCCTAAAATTCATTTAGCCAGTGGGAATGTTTTCTGTCCCTATTTATTGAAACGAGCAAAAATATCGCTTGTGAAGGTGGCGCACCCTCTCTAAAAGAAATGCCCTCTCTTTGTCCTTCACTTAAACATTTAGTAGTGGCTTGGCTTTCTGTGCTCAATATAGCTCATCATCCTGGTCCTCTTCAAATTTCTCCTCGTCAAAGAGGTCCTCGTCGGGCTCCGGAACCTGATGCCAGCAATATGAGGGGCATTCTTCTTTTTCGGCATATAGGAACGGACATTCCTGCCCATCGTACGAATAGATAGGGTCCGTGCATGGAACTGAAAGATACACCAGGTACGTCAGAATTAAACCGATTAGCTACATTTGATGAAACGGCCGTATGAAGAAGTGACAGTTTTTATTGGGATGATGTAACATATTTAGGACAAATTTCTTGCTTGAGAAATAAAAACTAGAGAAGTAGGCTTGCCTTTAAATATAATTTTAAACATTCGTTATTTGCTGTCTGCATATAACTATTAACGTCATGGCCTTTCTAGCGGCGCGTGTACTCATCAGACGTTGGGGAAGAGGACAGAAAACTACGATGGACAGATGTAATGTGTAGAAAGAGTACGTGTTTGATTGACAGTTCAGCGATGTATCTGGAGCTCGGATGCGCAACAGATGCGTTCGAGGTCAGTTCTTCTAATTCAAAACAAACTACAGGAACTTCGCTGCATCTGATAAATAGTTAGCAGGTAAGGTATATTCGTGTAAGGTACCATAAATCAATCATGAAAAAAGGTAATTCATCTTTCACTAAACCTATGCTCTCACACGGTACCGTTAACAAATAACAATCATGCTTGTTCGCGGCAATTAATTTTGTCTCGTATCATCTGAGTAGACTTGTTTCTAAACTGCGCCTCGTGTAAAACTGCCAAGTTCAGTTGTTATCGGGCTTTTTAAGGCAAATATATAGATATATACATGTCTAATGTCGATCTATTGTTGAATCCACTCGCAATGATGTCAGATTTGGCAGCAGAAGTCATTGCTGCATGAGACTATATATAGAGTTAGTGTAAAGACAAATTAATGTTTGTTACTGACCACAATAAGACACGAAGCAGCCCTTTCCACCCAGATACTCGGAGCAGTCATACCATAATTTATTTGTACAGGCACCTGTACAGGTGAGATTCTGCTCCAAAGAGCATCCTGAAAGTTCAAAAAGGACAAAAAGGGGATATCGATTTAGAAATATGATATTTACGCTATGCTTATGAGATTTTCTATGTGGGTTATTTTTGAACGTACAGTAAACAAATTATTATATTTACTATTTTTAAAAATATATTCGCAAACCCGATGAAAGAGTAACTGAATTTAAATACTTCCAGCGGTAACCATGAATATATATATATATATAAATAATGAATATTCTATAGCAAAAGTGAGTTGAAAGATCTATAAAACGTATCGCCTTTCGCCCCGAATCTTAAACTATTTGTACAATTTTAAGCAAAGTTTGCCATCCCCTTAGAGTACGTTATGTATTTTAAAATACTAAATGTGACTACCTAAATAGATATTTACGCGCAAAAAATCGAAATAATTGAACGGTAACTTCGGAAGACTGAGGTTCGCGTCGTTTTCCCATACAGGGTAACTTTATGGATAGGCTCCAACTGCATACGAGTTCACAGAGGTGACCTCTGAAGTTATTTTCAAGTGCGATAACTAATGTTGTCACCAGTTCTAATTAAGTTTAACAACAATGATATTGATCAGATATGTGAGAGTCAATTAAAAATTTTGCAGTTTGCCATTATGTGATCGATGTGGTGCTTATGTCGAATCAGCACATGATTATTAATTTAAGCTATTTTCCAGCAATGATGGATAGAATCAATAGTAAGTATTTACTCTCGCTACTTTCGCCTATCGTAAAAAACATATCGCTAGCCAAAGGTGTAACCTGCAAAGTATTTGCCCAACATGGTAAACATGTGCACAGATATTTGCTTCGAAAATATTTTTGCATAATGGTGGCAAGTTTAGGAAAACAATGTGAGATTCACACGAAAATGAGCAAAAACGTAGACATTTATATCGAAAGCAGCGGTTATAACGACCAATTAAATGATAATCGATTTCAGAAAAGCCTATTTTCAAAAATAAAGGAGGATCCGAAAATCCTTGAAAAATTTCAAATTTTTTTCTTCTCCTCATTATACATCGTTAATGTTGCATAGCAATAAGTCAACTATTATTCTTTAATAACCAATAAATATGACCAGTCTTAACTTACCAGTTCCTATTGTAGTCGTCTGTATCTCTTCCTGCCAACTGCCTAGCGCAATTGAAAGCCACAGGGAAACCACAAGGCAGACTGATAGAAGGATTAACAAGAGGGCGCGAAGCACCTCGCCGCGAACTCTCATAGCGGTTTCGGTCGCAGGAGAAGCGGTTCTATAGCTTCCGCAGGAGGAATGTCCCAGGCCAGCTGCACCTTCCCGACGCAGGACGCTGCCTCCGACACCATTGAGACGACGAGACGAGTCTAGATCTATTCTCCGAGGAGGACAGACAGCCTCACAAGTTGATGAATCGCGGACATCGCAACACCTCGTTCGAGCAGCAAACAAACCTTGGATTCTAGACTGTGGATTTTCACTCTCGTAATTAGATCAGTAATTTTTGCAACAATCTTAGTAGTAGCACACCGAGCACCTAGGCCGGGACGATCGCTATGTGCAGCCTGTTGAAGATCAAATGAAATTTATACACTCTCTTGGCGGGTATGATGAGCTCCGTAAGTCCTGATGACGCTGTTTTCCGACTTGAAGGAACAGCACTATACGAAGCTCCTCGAATACCACAACGAGCGACTAGTAGAGTCGGAAGCAAAACATTGCTAACATCACTCACAAAAAGCACTAAGCACACACATACACATTGGCTAGTACACTTAGTCTTAACTTCTGTAGTTTCTCGATGTCACCCTCTACAAGAACTGTTACTGCTCTATTCCATTTGGAATGTGTTTCAGCTGTTTCAAACCGTTGACCGTTGTGATGCGTAAAGCCGTCCCGACAATGCAGGCAAGCGAGGTTGTTAGACTGCTAGGCCGCCTCGCCAGCGGCTTACAGAAGCTGACGCACCACTCCCCTTCCTCCTCCAGGCAATAACAGTACAGCACAGGCCAACGCCGAGCAAGCAGTCGTTCCACGGGCAATTCTCTCCTTCTTTGCGCATGAAATTGATCGTTTCAGTAACCAGAGCTCGCTACGTTGTGTATATATTAGGAAAATTAAATAATTCGTTACGTCCTACTTCGCTGTATCATTAAAACACCCGAGGTACGGTGACTCGAGAAGGAAACTATACAATGCGAAGCCAGCTATGTGTTCGCACGTAATTAGTAAAAATCAGATATCTCGACTTGGGTAAATCAAAGGAAACCAAATGACCATAATTTTTGCACTTAACGTTTTTTGCTGTATTTCATTAGAGTTTTTAGCCATTCATTACATTGGGGTTTGCACGAAATTCTTGGTGATAATAACTAAGGTGGATAAGGTGTTTTTTTCTACTGAAAATGAAAGCTAAAATCGACCGATGGTAGCCAGCTGCATAAAAATCCGAAAAAAATGTCCAACATTTTATCAATACGCAGCCTGTGGGTCAGCCGGTATTGCCTTATTATAAGCAACTCATCCTTGGTAACGTAATAAGTATTATGTAAATACGTGGAAAACATAGGTTTTTAAAAGATAGCGTAGTACGTCGATCGGTGAGTCCCCTCTTGGGTACGTAACATCTAATCGAATCTCAAGGTTAGATTCGATACGGCCTCTGTCTAAAGAGTACTTAAATAGAACGTCCGCAGCAGCAACTCTTCCACAGTATTAAGTTAAGTATTTTAGCATACATTCATATCGTTGAAAAGCATTTGTCCTCTTACAACTGTTTATTTCTACAGTCTGGCTGCTAATAAAACGATCCCGTAAACCTAGGGTACTGAAGAAATGAAAATAGAAGCATCCGGTCGACATTCGGCGACAATTTGTGCGTAACGCGGGTACCACTGTCAAAATAAAAGGTATCGGCTTCTGTTGCCATGTAATTTAGTGTAATCAATTTCATCGGTTATCACGCCGAGACCATGGCTAGAACACGTACTTAGACATACTATGGGCAATGATCCTATACAAATTATGGCTTTGTCTCTTGGCGTGATTCGCATGTAACAAAACTACTCGGAACTCTCATCTAAGCATTTCATAAGAGTATGATTTGTCCACAATGACTTGCTCTATGGAAATGTGGGTGAAATACCGTTACAGCGCCGTAACTTTACAATTCGATGTCTATCTGTAAAGAGTCCACTATATTGCTGGTTTTGTAATGCCAACGACTGTCATCAATGAGCATCTTGCGTACAAAACGAACAAATGTGTAGAAAAAAAGCCGCATCAAAGCATCCCTTATGAACTCGAAAAGTTACGTTCCGCATAAAAGCACCACAATAAATGTATAGAGCAGCATCTTCTTGCTATAGATGTTCAATCGCTGGCAAACTAATTTGGCTGCCTAAACCATACGCATACAGTATAAAGTTACGTATAAATTCGCGGTGTATTTAAATAATAAATAATTGCGTTCGTACAGGGACAAAACAATATGGATTTCTTACTCGAATCAAGCAGCCATTGCACTAATTATCCTCAGAAATCAGACTGGAACCAAGCATATGTGCGTAAGTTAATTCAAAGCCATCACGCATCAACTTAGTACCGAAACATCAACCCATAAAATGAAATGGATATTTTTATTTATACGAGAAGAAAGTTATCAATTAAACACCGAGTTTTCGAGAGCAAAGTATTAAAATCGATTATGATTATCACGGGTGCCTGAAGTGACTTACAACTTCTAGTTCCAGAGACCCTTTTGACACTACGAAAGAAGCTGAGAGGTGAACGAGTTCGGCATCGCAGCCACGCAACCTTCAAATACGTGTCCCTCCATTTGTCCTTTCCAGGTTACCTTTGGAAGACCTTCGAATGGTAGAAGTGTGCCACAACTTCTTGCGCTTGACATGTTTAAAACTCTACTACGCGAGCCCTGCAATACGCACGCTTGGCTTCGTAGCCACGCATCGTCCACGCATGTTCCTCCGGTTGACACTGGTAGCATTTGTTCTTTCCTATAAGAAATCTTTCCCTTCCTCATAAGACTTCTAACGGCCTGATATCCCAAGTCGTGTCCATCACTTTTTATGCACCAGTTCATATCCTCTGTATCATTTGCTTCTGCACCTGTAATGGAGTTTAGCTTACTCTCTTGCTTTCACGTTTTTCGGCCTTATCCCACTTAAAGAAGACCGGTGTCAATAAATTTGTGGCTTGCCCACGAATTCCTCACTTTCCCGCCATTTCGTGCGCAAGTTCACATGCGCCGTATCCTTCCGCTAAAATCATTGATATACTTTTGGCTATCACTCCTGCTAGTAGAATTATTGCAAAAGATAAGGCGTAGTAAGACTAAAGTTTCTATTCTACCTCCTATTACAGACGAATCTCTTAAATCTTGCAAAATAGCTGGTACAACGTAGGTGTTACGCTGATGCTTCCTCCATTTTGTTCGGGAGTCCGAATGCACACAATTCCTTTCTCATTCGCGGACGTCGTCAAATATTGTGTAGGTGTAACTGAACGACGAGAAACGATAACACAACGGTCGGATGCAGTCGCTACAGCGTTACGGTCGCTGATACAAGCCAACATTTTCATAAACCAATTATCCATACTTATACATACATATTATGAAAACGGTACTTTATCGAAATAGTTGTTATTAAAGATCCCCTATTTACCATCACAGATAAATATTATTATTAAACAAATACTTATCCTGCTTTTATCTGCTTCGTGTTTTATTGACGACATTCTATTGAATGGCGGACACTGCAGGGACGGTTCGCTTTCAGTCTTCTCTTTTTGACTTACACCTTTTTGCTAGGAAACAAGGTGTTAGCTAATTGTAGGATATAGACTTTCGCTATCATGAAACCTTTGTAGTTTTTACAGCTCACAGATATGGCCGACTTTCGGGCAATTTTGAACACGCTTTTTGGCTTATCTTTCAGAGTTCCTTTTGTTTAGTTTGGTCTGAATTACCAACACTCGATATAACGGAAGTATCGCATCTCTCTCGACCAACACTTTCACAAGTACAATGTTTCACCTAAAAATGTCTCGGTAAAGAACCTTTGTCCTAGGTGCTCAAAGAAATGAAACGTGTTTAATTCTGTGAGGAGGCAGAGATGGCACGATTTAGTAATAGCACAGCCTACTGATTTTCGATTACCATCTAAATATAAAGTGCAGTGATATTTTTCGTCAGATCTAGCATCCACATTATATTGTTACCATGAAATGACAGCACAGCGTGTATCGGGTAGAAAAACGTCCAGTAATAATCACAGTATCTATCTGTCAAAATGAAGTATCCTAAGGAAGATAAGTAATACGTCTAGGTGTCATTCAACCGCTGAGTAGTTCAAGAGTGTCTAACCAGAATTTCTTAAACAATTTACAGTGTTTTGCTAATAATCACAAACGGACCGAGACTTACTTGCTAAAATAGTTTCCCCTTCTCTTTCATAATTTAAATGATTCCGTGTTACGCAATCATTTCAGAAACCCATGTCCATTGCAACTATACGCAAATGCTTTGTGGATCTTACACAATTCTACACTGACACTTAATAGACGAAAAGCACGAGCAACACTTACTATACACTTGAAACAAGTACTCCATACAAATAAGCTTCTCTCTTTCCCCACCTGGTGTATCATATTTAAATGCGGGAACGGAATTCAACAAACGTTTTGTTGTACAGCATTTCTCTCGAACTTACCATAGCTTTCATGCGATGTCTCTCAATTCGAGTTGCTGTTTAATTGTCATAGACCAACGTAGCATTACTAATAAACTCCACAGATTTACCAACGTATCGTATGCTATCACACAGATCAATGGTACTTCACGCGAAGCCAACGAAAAACAACCAACATCCCACAGTATCGAAAACATCAAATGGGTAACCAAGCGCACATTATTTCTAGCGCTTCGTAGACACACACTGTTTAACTTGATTCAATTTCTTCCTCGGAGACTTCTCACCGGGAAGTCAACTTGTTTTTTTTTTCTATCGTTACTGCTATTATGATAACGACCTCGGTACAATGACAATGGAGGCACAGAATCCTCAAATTGTTAATAAACAAAAAAACAACAACATTATTATATAGTACTACTTGTTCAAACTGTCCCAAACTGCTAAAGGCGCTCTTGCGCCTATTAAGCAGCTGCCGAGGATCAGTAAGCTATTTGATAACAAACAAAAAAAAGAAAGCTAAATTGGCTTGTGTTTCACGCATATGGCTGGATAGTTCCTGCCTGCCTCTTCACGTCAGTGGCGGTGCGGTTTGGGTGTTCGATTCCCGACCAGATGGGATATCCAACGACCGATGTGCGGGCGGGTGAGCGCATGCAGCTACGGCGCCAGGCAGCGCAGAACACGCAGACACCAGCTCTCATACACACGGCGCGAGCAATATGAGCGGTAGACGCAGAACAGGCTCTTCGCCAGGAAGGTAAAACGCCAGTAGGAGCTGCGATCTTGAACTGTACACAGTGGCGTTTGTTGATTCGCTGCTTCGTCGGTCGGGTAAATGAAATTAGCGCGGGACGTAACTTCGGTTTGATTCCCGAAAAACCCGTAAACAAACGTAGAAACAAAGAAATTTTGCTGGATACATTTGCTAATATGTTGAAATTATCCTTTTTATAATAATAATAATAAGGCTCAACAATAGCAGCAAATAGGAGGAAGAGACGAAACATCGTTTGTCTTACAGGTTAATTCTGCTTTTGCCCCGCACGAAACCAAATCAACGCTTTTGTCACCGAACGCTTAACAATGGGAAGGCTGAATAAGGTAAACATCCGCTGTCCCTAGGACGTGACAGCAAGAAAAGCGCATGTTCTTACACGATCTGACGGATAACGCGGAGGGCAAATTCTTTAGATTGTGGTAGGAATAAAGGATGGCGAAAGTTAATGTTTCCTCGAAAGTGGTAGTAAAGGACATCGCCTCTAACATAAAGGTCTGGACTACATGATCCGATGGTGAGGAGCTCAGTTAATACCTCACGCATGGCTCAGGGTACTTTTCAAAGCTATCTTCACGAAATTGGTAAGACTCTATTGGACATCTGTGTTTTCTACACTGCGACCCTGGAAGCTAGGGCACACCACACGCTGGCGATATATGCGGGGCGTTTATCAACACTAGAGAAAGTCGATTAAAGAAATGATACTGACCTTAGCAAGCGGCATGAAAGGTTTGTATCCTTCATTGTTCGATCACGAGGGTTTGATAGGTGCATGAGACTCTAATAAAGGACATCTTGAATAAAAGAGAACGGCTTGTGAGGTTACTACTGAGTAACATGTCAGACGATGCTTTGCTAGGGTTAGAGGATGCATAAGGGGCCATATTCCCGTGCAGGGAGGTATCTCATGTGGAAAAGTGGGTAACCTCACTAGGGTGACTTTGGCATGATGATCCGGTGGTACTAGCCAGCCTCTTTTATTAGCCTATAGCACTGGTGAATGAAGATCTGGACTGATTCAGAATGAACCTTAATAAGGGAACTGATAACAGTGAGTAATGGTCTAGAAGGGATTCAGTTTAAGCGATGGGGCTAAGCTTCACACTCGACTCACGTAAGATAGGTATTACGTTCCAGTGGAGCTGATCATGATTCAAATCCTGCATAGGAAATGAGGCATCCGCTCTCCAAATACTTAGCTATTAAAAAATCAAGTGAAGATTCACTAGCTTTGCTTAGGCCTAATGCAGGTTATGACATAACAATGGACGCACTTATAAAAAAGTTGCACGGTAGAGTTACATTATGCATATTATATTTAGTTATTGAATACACTGTATGTAATTTTTTATTTTAATAAGTGAAGCAGTTTCAATATTACCGCTGTTCTAGGGCCCATTATCGTAAGCCTACCCTTCTTTCTTTGACACGAACAGATTAATTAATTATAATTAAATTAAGATTTGATAGACATTCAATTGTCCCTTAAAAAGGTACAATTTATACAAAAATATCTTGTGTTTGTCGGTGTGACGCGCCTGCTTTGACAAAATCAGAAGCTTTCTCTATCAGTTTCTCCGTCCGGTGCTGAAAATAGATTAACGCTAATTATAGGCAATAATGCTATGTCTCCAAAAAACTTTTTTTTAAAATAAATGCTAAATATTACGTTGGCAGAGAGTCTTAGTCAGTTTTGCTAATCCTAATTTTTCGTTTGAGTGTTTTATACTGCTATTATGTTATTACTGTAGCTTTTGCTTTGCTCTACAAACTCTATGGTTTGAATCCCTCTCTGAATCATCTGTCATCTCTGATTTATAAGTATCTCTTTAACAGTTTAAGTAATTCGTCCCTTAATGTTTTCCATCTGGCTTACTGTGGTTCCTTGATTCTGTAAAAATTCTGTAAAAATAAATTTCATCTTCTTATCCAGCTTCTGTAGGGGCGTAGCAACGGTATCTGTTTTTTGTACAGCGGAATGTTGTATCCCTGTTTTTATTTTGTAGAGTTGTTTAGCCTACGTTCCTAAAACTTGTCTTATTAACTTAATTAAGGCGCGAGTGTTTTCCGTTACGGTGTCTCTATAACCCTCACGTCCGCACCCCCGCTCACACCTGTTTGTTAGGTTTCAGGTACGACGAAGATGTTCCGGCGCTATTTTAAGCATTACTGAGCTTCATAACTAAAAACGTGGCTGTCTGAGCTACCGCAACGATAGTACGCAAATAGCACAAGATGCATCAAATTCATTTTGACTAAAAATGACAAAGAATAGACGAGTGATGTCCACTAAACGCGCTTAGAAGCAGGAAAAACGGGGCCTTTAATAATTAGTTAATAACATATATTGTTAGTTTCGTCACATGTTCCCATCTGTGGGACATTTTTCGACACTGAAAATTATATGTTTATCCAAATTTGCCTCGTATGCTTTCTGTATTTTACGTCTGCTAATAAGCTATTATTCATACGCCTCCAGGAATCGCATCCAGGCTCGGATTTGAATTCAAACCACTACGAGCTTCGTAATTAATCGCAGACAGTCACGCTACCCATTAGTCCATTATCAGAGCTACGTCCAACAAACTTGGCAGTACTGAACATGAACGGACGATCCTGCCTCCGCCGTTGCCAGTGTACATATTCGCTGTTTACATCAGACATGAGTTTAGATGCTAGCGTAAATTCCTTATACAGCGCAATTCATCTATATTATGCTATTTATAGAAAAGTACGTACGTTTACTACGTTTATACACAGTAATCCAGTAGCGTACACAATTACGCTACATGCAGCTACTTTTCGTTTGTAACGCATCAATTTGCAAATACAGTAAATAGCATTTTGTCAAACGCGGACGAAATTACGCTGTTTTTGAGATACGAACAAAAAAGCGAACAAACGCTGTGAAGGTCTTAAGATATCGTTGCATTTTTGGCATTGTAATTCTGTTAGTGGTCAATGAAATAAAAGCACCAGAATGAAATTTGTAAGTTAGTAACTCTACTAGAATAGTACAAAATAAAAAAAGCGACTTTGTTATTTGTTCATACATTGTTATTCAAAATTGTAGTTAGTGAGATAGAAGTCAAACATAATCATGAAGTGATTACTCGTTGTAGATATTTATTTTGGGACATATACTAATATGTGTCGTATTAATTTAACTTTAATGAAGTTACCTAATCATTGGCAAAATGAAACAATTGACAAGGACCAAGGACATTTAAAGAGAACTATAGTACACGATGTTATTAGGTAGGTATATATTAACAGAGAAGTTACCTAATCCCAAATAATTGCTATATAATAATTATACAATTATATATACAAAATATACAATTATAATAAGCACCATTATTATTACTATGACTATCAATAACAATCAAAGCATAAATAATGCTTCGAGGTACATGTAAACTAAAAAAATAATAAATTATAGTAATCAAAGGAACACCAGTAGAGATCAATCTTCGTGCCCTTTTTCAAATTTGCGCGCGTGCCCTCCACTGTGTCCTCTCTTCTCATCAAGTCGAGCAATCAGCTGCAACCGACAAGGATTCACTCGACCACCAGTTCCTATCTACACCTACGAGCGATCAGCAACCACTGCGTGCAGTGGTGTGCATGGTTTCTGCGTGCACAGTACGCACTAATTGTGGCTTCTCATCCAAGTATGATATAGGCTAGGTATAAGTGCACGAACGGTGTCTGTCCGTTCATAGCCTTTGCGCGAGCAGCCTCTCGCGAAACCGTCCGTTGCCCTTGTCACTTGATTACTACCTTTCCTTTTCTGTTAGTCTATTGGTGAGTTAATCATACTAAGTGACGTACTCGTGTCTGTTACATCTATCCATTCACTGGCCAGCCAGAAGACAATCGGGCGGTGGTGCGCTATACATGATACCATTGTCGCACACCCCAATCAGATTTTGCTATGGCAGTTACAGCTGGCGCCGCGCGTCCCCTTTTAATCTCAGCTTATTCAGTCCTTTTTGACGCCTAGCTACTAGCAGAGATAATGCAGACTAGTTCTACTTAGTTTTCCCAGCCAACTGGCGTGAGCTAATATATACAGAAGCATTAGCCATACCTGCGCTTCGCCACCGCCATTGCCGCTAGCGCTACCGAACGCAGCTAATTTTGTCAACTGTTTTGCCTGTCCACAGTAGCAATAGCGATTAGTGCAGATAGAGAGTGTTCGCCTCGTATTCATGGCTACTTTGCGCTTCACGTCAAACAGATCAGAGACGACACGATACCTTAGACAGGCGATTAAATACTTCGTCGTCAGAAAGCTGTACTTTGGCGGCAAAAAAAACCGAACCACAACGGGTCAACGATTGGACCAACTACCTTAGATACTTCATAGCTGATCGCGCTACTATCGCGCGGTAGCCTCTCAGTGTCTATGGTAATTTCTCTGTGTATTTTTTTAGCGGCCGAGGTCGACTTCGGGACACAGCGCATTCGATAACTGAAACTAGTGCCAATCGGCTTTCAGCTGCTGATGACGTAAAAACGACGGAAGTGAGTCAGAATTGACGGCCGTAAAAAGGGCTGGTGAACAACCCCAACGGAAGAGCTAATCAGAGCGGACGACTCGTAAATTGATTTCAAGTGTCCAGTATTGAGTAAGAAAAAAAAAAGAAGAATAACAGCGGCCAGTGCGTTCTTTGCGTGTTCGCGTGAGAGAAGTTTCGCCGGTATAGGTCCCGTTAGGCGCGCATGGTGCCACTGTTGGAACCTTTTTCAGAAAAATGTATCCCGCGGTCTATTCGTATGAAAAGGTCCGCGGAGTATCAACGAAAATACTCCGCTTTGAAGCCAATTTACGACCAGAGACAGACGGAATTTGGAGAGAGTTCCCGATTGTGATTATGATACCCGGTTAGTATACAATATAGGTACGAATTCTGTAGTTACTTTGTATTATGTCCCTAGATACTATGCTTGCTGAAAACACGTAAGAAGATTGGTAAGTACGAAGTTTTCTCATTGACCAATGAAAACTGTTAATGGCTTATCTCGAAAGAAAACTTGCAATTTAGTCGTCAAAGGAGGTGGCATTTCAACTCCTATTCACGGTCCGGACTGGTAAGTCCATAGGTCATCAAATAATTTATGCTTAGAGACATTCGACTCGGATCAAAGTTTCTGGGAAAAGTCAGAATGATTTATAAGAACTGCTCAAAGCAAATTTAATATAGATGCAGTGATCTGTTGCGTTCATGGTATCACTGTTATGCGGTTATTTACTTTTGGGCTCATTCTGGCAGTCTGTCTTCAAATGAGTTATTTGAAAAGTTACGGCCACAAATATGCTCTGAACAACTCTGGATAGGTTAATAGTTATTTAGCTCAAACGTAGTCGCGGGCCTTTCGTAAATAGCGCGGAGAAAATGTTCCGTTATTGAGCGCCTATTGTACATACTAGCTAATACAGGACGATATTATCTTTTGCCAATCTCTATTCTGTCGGCGTGTTGTGAGCATTCGATACTTTAATTTAGGCTTACATGTAGATGCAAGTTTTAAAGATGCGTGTTATGTCACAGTTATTATATATATTATACCGTCATATTTTCTTTTTCTGACGTCAACAATGTTCTGATGGCTGCTCTCTATGATGTGCCGTAATATTCCATAGCGTAATAGTTTATCGTAATCGCGCATTTCCAATCGATTTTCGTTATAATAGCAATAGAGCATGACAGATATCTAAAGGCATGTAAGTATCATCACAACGCCGCCATAGCACTTGTGGAATTCTTTGGCAATGTACACTATCGAGTGTACAAGCTCGCTAATGCTATACACGCTGACTTACTACTCACATCCAACTAAATTTACTATAGACATGAACGCCCGTTTCTTCTAGTGTTACCTATCTGTCAGTACTCATTAGCTGTCTCGGAACTTTGTCATGGGAGCCTCAATGTGTCGTGTCATTCATGACATTCCATTAGTCTGGGCCCCTATCGCCATGACCACTTGTCGCTGCTCTTTCTAGTTGTCACGTTTTTTCGGTAACGAAAACAGCAGCGGAATAGTGGGGTAGCAGCGTGATGCTTTGCTTACGGTAAAGCGAACCTCGAATCAAGAAGGTCGGCTGGCTGTCTCAGACAATTCAATCGTGTTCTGGATAGGTTTGCGCGTTCGGGTCTGATCGTTGTAGGTTAAGAGAAATGAGCAAGCCCGCTTAGGCAAAATGACGTTCGTTCTACTTGTGGAAATTGCCGACGCTGGCAGCACAAGCGACGCTGACGCTGGTAGTAACAAACACGGAGGTCAGTGAGTACGCGTACCCGCGCGGCAAACACTTCGCAAGATACATCGGCGAGACCCAAGGTGACTTGACCTGGATAGAAACGTCTGACTAAGCTTCATCTGCCAATGCAGTCCCTCAAGTCAGACTTCAACGCTGAACAGCGTTATAATATTCTGTATTACTATCGGTGTATGTGTGTGTGGGCGTGCACGTGAGGGTAAGAGGATAGGGATAGGGAGAGAAAACGCTATACAATTGGGCGTTTCATAGCATAGTCTTGCTGGTAAAATCGGTGTTTACCAATTAGTAGGAGAATAATAAAGTTGCTATGGCGCAGCCAATAATTATTTTCAATACGACTACAGTATTCATTAAGATTCTATCAACCTGTTTACCTGAGTATCTGACTATTTTACGGAAACCGTTATCACATTCCCACTCAGGATACGTAAAGTAGGCATTTTTTTCTGATAGTAAAGAACATTTCTATTGTAATAATTTCTTTCTCATCGTTAATGGAAGGCTGTGAAAAACAATAATAATAATAATTTGGCCAAAAATATTGTGGAAGGCCAGCACATATTGTCATTTTACCAAATAGATACTTTAAACAAGAAAGTCGAACTTCTTCGAAACGGTTTTTTTTTTGCAGATTTGTCAACGTAGTGGTACCTACTGACGAAGTCGCTTTGAGATTCATCTTTACTAATTGGATTGGAAATCCTTTTTAGTAGAAAAGTTTCAAGGATACGTTTGCTGGCTAATCTCTACGAAGTCTAGTATTTGAACAATAGCGTTTAGCGTATCGGCATAGCATAGTTTGCAATCTACTTCATAAACTTGCCGCCTGACATCTTATGTGCATGTAGGATACGATCGTCATATTGTAATAATTATCTATCAAATGATTGATGGCTGTTGCTGGGGTTCAGATCTGTGTGTGAAAGTTGACAATTGTATACATTTATTATTGTACATATCGGTGGTTTTAGTACTTAACAGTGAGATTTTAGCAAAACTGCAAATTATTACGCGGTCAATCGGATACGCATAAACCGTTCGGATCAACGTGGCTCTGGTAGTGGCTTCAACTGTGATTACCTGGTTCCTAGATCTGAATTCGTCTATTGCTGTCTATCTCTGTTTTGCATAGCGATGTTACAGTAGAAACAAGGCACGTATCGATTCCAGGTGATCATTACTATTGACTACCGCGTGTTCGATATTTCCTTAATCTATCTACGATTGATATTGAGCTATAGCCATAGCTGTAGTTCGTGAACGACCTACTTTTAATAACTCAAGAACGTAGTCGATAGTGCAGTCACAATACGTCACATAATAGCGTAAGGGAAATATGATCAAATACATTGCGGCACATCTCAATATGAGCATATCTGATATCAATTGGTTTTTGTAGATATATCAAAAACATCGGAGATTTTTTGCCGATTGATTAACTTAGAGTATATTAAGAACTTGTTATTTTTAAATGTTTTCTTTTAGGGCAACGGATATGAAATATTTGTTTTTATGTTGCTAACGGCTACTGAGGCAGAAGGGGTTGAGCGTGTAGGTCAGCATAGTAAAGAGAAAAATGCTAACATCATATTCTAAGCACAGTATATTTAATTGTTTTTTCGAACTTTCAGATTTCTAAGAGCTTTTACGCTTTCCACATTCTAAAAACTAAAGACCTAAATATATATATATATATATGTATGCGTGATGCGGTGTTCCGTAAAGCTAACGTTGAGTGCTCAACGTCATAGTCGGTAATTTTTTATAAGTACCAGTGTCTCATTCATCCGATCGAACAAACAATTTTGTTCGCACGTCACGGGCATATTACCCACCTATTAGACGTTAATGGATAAATTCGTATCATAGACCACTAATGTTCAATACCATTGGACGACAAATGCTGTTATAAAACGATAATCGCATAACCCCTATGGCACTAGCGTTGTCTATGTAACGAAATCAGGCTTCACTCTTCGTGTCTGAGTTATACTTAGTCTGTTCTTCAGTTTAAATGTTCGTCAGTTATAAAAACCACATCTAATCTTTGTCTCTGCTGCACTGCAGAGAAGTACCGTCTTCCATTAATCGTCCCGCGTGCTTAACCCTGTCGATATATATGAAAGCACTGGTGCGGAGGCAGTAAAATAAGCCTTTTATTATATTTATTTACGTTGTTTTTACAAATTCCGACGTTCTATTTCATTTAGTTGGTCGGATATATATATATATATATATATATTTGTTTAATACGAAGGCTATGGCTCGATTATTTAAATCACCGCTAAGATAAAAGCCAGTTGACGAATGGTTATTGCAGGATTTTTTTCGTTTTTCGTGTATTAGAATTTCTATCTGAATTTAATCCATTCATGCATTGGCCATTCAGTCATCCTGTCTACTATTACGATAAATGTATAACGCAGAGATTTGTTCTAAATATGAAATATTGTTGATTTTGAACGCATTTCAAAGAAATTATGTCGAATGGCTGAGGTATTGGGCCGTTCACTTCGTTGTTGACGTGTATATGTGGACTTTAAGGCTTGTCATTACCTTCAGGAGGGCACGTAAGGAAGGGGTGTCGGATCGTACTGCATGAACTTGTTCTACGCCTACTGCTCGAATTGGGGGTCTTCTCAGGTTATAGTTAAGCAGTCTAAAGCATGTCCTTTAACTTTTAGGTAAACGATTTATTAGTGGCTATTTGCAAATACTGTTCATTGCTTCGCACTTTAGTCAAGGCATAGCTGACCATGTTGCCACCACGCCATCATCGAGAGAAAAATGTACGCGATTGATCATTTTAAGAATGGATAAAAGTTATCGTGCTATAGAAAAGTATTTGCCGATGAGCACATGTCCTCATCGGCAAAGTTAACACCACTAGGTCATACTGATAATGTTTTAGATAAGTTTCATTGAATAAAAGAATTACACAATGTCCGAGTAGGTCGGCACGTCTTCGCATACGCGGATGATAAAAAGTGCATCGACCATTTCGAAAATCAGAAACGTATTCTTTATCTTAATGGTTACCACTAATTCTGATTATTAAAAACAATATCAAAGCGTGGTGGCTTCTACGATTTATTCATTACACGAAGCTGAGGTTCCGTTCCTATAGAAATACCTCCTTATGCATGTAAATGAATTTGCTGTCTAAGGTTGTAAGGCAAAATAGAATTTAAATTATCTGAAAAAACTGAGGTGGGCAAAAGGGCTAGGAAATCGTTAGATTCTCATCGCCTGAAAAAAACAGTTGTTAACTCGTGTTGATGGCATACATGTTAATTTCTATATTCTAGTTATAACCAATATTATTTTGTATAAGGAACTCGCAACTCAGTGCGCTCAGGCTGACAACGGTAGCGCTTTAGAGACCTGGTTGTTTTTTTAACTCATCGCGCAATTTATCTGAGTAAAGAAAGTTCTTTTTGTTCGCATTGTTTGTAAGCGATGATACATAAAATGCACGTGTCTGCCCATACCCTCTATTTCCAGAAAAATTGTAATAAACATATCTAATCAAGCGCTTTTGCGTGGAATTTGTTCATTGCAGGCAACCCTGGAGAGATTCAGTATTACGAAGAGTTTCTTCGGCAGGTCTATGGTCACTTTGAGGAACAGGTGGAAGTGGTTGGCGTAAGCCATACTGGCCATCACGCGCCTCCTTCATCGCCACGTCCAGTGGGCCAATCAAGTGAAGGTCAACATAGTCAAGAATTTCCCTCAATTGATGGTAAGCCAACATCGGAGATGTATCTATTTGTAACATGGCTTTTAATGCAAATCTTTCTCTCGCTCTCCCCTCGCTTTTCAAACTTCCTTCCTCTCGAATAACGCCAACTGAACGCACTACGCCCGACGACACATTGAAAAGCTTTAATTTTAGATAAGATTGATACTGAAGAGTTTTTCAGATTTCATTCACTCTGCATTCGGTGTAACCTAGAGAGACGGGGCAAAGCACAAATCGGTACAAGTAGGTTGAATCAAAAAGATAGTCGCTCATGCTCAAGCAACACATGATCATGCGATGATTTTGCCAGCACATATACCTATACATATATATAGCATCCTGCCTCTCGTGACTTCCCTATATGCGGTAATCTTCAACGTTTTACCACTAAAATACGACGCTTTCTGTCCATACAGTGCCATAATTAGGCGACATTTTTAGTAGAAGTAGTAGCTTACCAAATGTACTATAAGCACAATTCAATGTTTCATGTAGGAATTTTGCTTCTTTTGTATTTTTTGCAACAAACGTTGTTTTTCGAGACCGTTACCCATGATCACCGCTGAGTGGTCTATGATTGCATTCATAATGTACTCAGGACAAAAAGGTACGAAAAAGGAAAAAAGCACTGCAACGCTGCTTTGTCAGTTGCCTTTCTTACAAGCGTGACCTTCGGTATGACCTAGGTTCTGCCTATCTCTAGCTGTTTGTTACATGTGCGTACCAGGAATGCCAGTCAATCGATCAATCAAGGTTACATTATTTCTTCATGTCTTAAGTGGAGTATACATTAGAAAGAGATTGTCTAATGCAAACCTCATTAAATTAACGACAGTAACGAGAAAAAAGGAACGCGGACGAGTAAACATTTTGCTGACCGCTTTTCTATGTGAAAACAGATCATTTAGTTAGCCTTACTATCGACATACTTGTACACGGGTGTTAGAATGTCCTTCTGGAGATTGGGTTTCTCGCAGTTAAATATGTTAGCTATTAGATGAATAGAAGTAAAAAAATAATTGGACGAAGTAACAAACTCACTAAATACCACCAGTTATAGTTAACCGAAACACGATAAACTGAATTCGAAAGCCGACGTAAATTGTACTCCATTAAAATAACAGAAACTCAGACAGAGTCAATTCAAGGTCATATTAGTTTATTTTCAAAATTACGTTATCTATTTTGTAGAGCGTTTACGTGAAAACTAGTCGGTATCCCTCGTGTACGTTTGTCTTGCTGATGCAGCTTTGACATTGTGTGAAAAGAATTATATCCGTATTCAGTGAGGCTGAAATACTAATTTGTAGTTATCACGGTTAAGTTCATTAATTTAGTAAAACAATAGCTTTTCCGTCTTTTCTGAAAAAAAACTCCAACGTTTTTATATGTATAATTTACCTAATTTCTTGTTTTCACGCTAAGTTTGCATGAGGGCTAGAAAGTAGATGACGATAGGTTTTCAGTTAGATTCAAGAGCCATTCTGAATTCTAAGCTGAGGGAGTTCAGGTCATGATGGCTAATATACCTTTTTTTGGAGGTTAAGGGCAAATGCATTATGCAGACCGGACATCATTGACTGTGCTTTGTCCGGTACTGTGGGACTCTCACCCACTAAACCCTGGACCCCTTTATCAGCTTGGGCCATGGTTCGGGATATGTTTGGTATCACTTGGAAGCGACGGCTAATATACCTGCACGTACTTAGATGCCAAAGTTCGCATCTCGATCGATCAAATACATCTGAGCAGATCATATGGACCTATGGACCAGCAGCGATAGGAGCACATGTTTCCTGTTATCGATAACAGTAGTTTCTGTTGGGCATATTTTTATCTAGATCGAAACATTTAGTATCACATTTCCGCAGTAGAACAGATTCAATAACAAAACAAGCTAAAATAAATATAAGATCGGCCGGTGGTATCGTTAAATCGATACACATTGTACATAGCATATAATGTGCCTTTTTAGTAAAAACTAGACTTTCACAAATGTATAAAAAGTATACTACCTCGAATCAATACATTCATTTCATTATAGTTGTGAGTAAGTAAACATCCTATAATAAATAAATATGTGCCCTTGATCTGATTTTCACGATTCAGATGTTGTAGCGGCGAAGAAATTTCATAATATTATTAAAGTTGCTGCAAGCGCCTCTAAATTGACCTTGCTCTTTGTTTTGCAAAAGTCGTTTAAGTAAAATAACCCTGGTGATTCCTGTTCATGTCGTATCAACGCTACTTATCCAAAATATAAGAGTTACACCGCTAAAAAACCTATTTTTGCAGAAGGAAGAAGACGAGATTGGGAATAATAGAACCTGCTTAACTTGAAAGGATATAGATTAAATGGATGATAAAATGATTCGAGAACCAAACATAGACTCAACTGGCATGGCGTTTTAACGTAGACCTAAGGTTAAAATTTTAAGTTCGAGGTCGCAGTCGGAGCAGTTGGCCTCATTTTAGTATAAAAACGAAAAAGGTATATCTTGTCCCAATCGATCTGGTTTCCTCAGTGACCTGATAGATAATGTTATTTAGAGTGCTCCCTCCACGAACTTACTCTTTGTACGTGAAAACAAAAACTTCTAAATATTCATATACGTGTGCGATTACGGGGTTCAGTATGGTAAAATCTTGACTGACTGGAGGGCTTCCCTGAAAAGATTTGTCCCGAAGTTAAAACTAGAATGAACGTCGTGAGTTGATTCTAGCAAACTATTCACAGGTTTTTTTCCCAATGATTTTAACTCCCAAAAAAAGACCAATTTTTCTGTGCTGCAACTTGCAGTTCAGTGTCTGTAGCCCTTCGACCAGTTATGATGACACCAGTTTTTTTAACTATATTTTGTAACTAAAAATGTTTGTGATTAATTAGCGCTTTCATCTCGTTTGCAGAACACTCAGAGCTCTACGATCTTCAGGCACAGATTCTCCACAAAATAGAGTTTATAAAGAGATTCATCGGATTCGAACGTGAAGTGATCCTAATCGGTCACTCGATTGGGGCGTACGTAGCGATGCAGGTGATCAAGAGAGAACCGCGACTAAAGGTATGGGGATCGAGTAGTACATGGGCTTGCTAATCTGCGATGCATGCAAGCCGCTAAGGTCTATTTTGAGCACGTAATCCAGTAGAAGATTGAGCTGGTACAGCTAAACCCAAAAAGAATTCCCTGGCGATTGGATGTGGGCGCCATAACGATGAAAAATGCACGATTCGTGCTTAGTCACTTTGTTGAATGACTTGATAATGGCCTAAAATATATACTGTTTAGTTATCATTGTGGATCGCCACTGGAAAAGGTCCGGTTGTATATCTACCTGAGGAACACATGTAGAGTTTACTGAAGACCAATACAGTAATAGTCAATTTGTAGTGCTTTATGATAAGCGGGCCGCAATTGCTGTTCTGTTACAATTCTGATTGTAGTTATCTCTCTAAAGATAAAATTCATTTATCTCTGTAAACGCCTTCGCTTACTTCATTATAGCTACTTTTTACTGTCTGCTCACGGCACTACTGGCAGAGTCGGCAAGTTAACAGCATGATGAACGTATAAATATTGCTGTAAACTAGTCTGCTCAATCGATTAATTTTATATATATTTAATGACAGAACGAATCCCTACTAACGTACCTAATTTTTTGATACCTCAACGACAAATCGCGATGAAGCAGAATCGAGATTTCCCTTGATTGCCTGATATAATATCGGTAACGTCTGGCTGACGTAAGTGCCCCAAGTATCTACGAGATAACCAAAATAACGATCATTGTATCCACACCTATATTAGTGTGGTTGTTAAATGATTGTTATTCGATCGATGATTTCAGTGTGAAAAAGCGATCCTCCTTTTTCCCGTAATAGAACGCTTGATTTCAACAGATCGTGCGCAAGAGCTCATGAAAACGGTGCAACGATGGTACTCGCCATTTTTATTTCTTTGCAATCTAATGCACTTTACGCCGCTACCGGTCAAGAGATGGCTAGCTACGTGGTTTTGTGGGTAAGTTGAGTAAATTTAAATTGTTCACATGCCACTATTATCCTATGGCATAGCTCTAGTAAGAGTATTTTTGCATCCACATGCCTTAATTAGGTTCTAAGCCATAACCTGTAACTTACTGGTATCTCAATTGTCCGGCGAATTAAAACGTCTGAAAGGGTGTTAGTTGGTCGAACTTTATTAAGCACTGGGTTTAACAGATATAGTATTCCTCCGCTACACCCCGTGGCAGCACTAGATTGTGATGTTTAGGGCCAAATTTCTAGTATTCGTCCGGCAGCGGCCGACGTATTCAGTTTGAAAAAAATCAGTACATGTTGGAAAAGGAACAAATGGTAATCTCAAAAACCAGTAACAAAAAAAGTCACTGCTTTTTCTGCTCTGTCAAACGCTTAAACTTGACGTTTTAATTTTTCCTTCCTGTTCCCAGACAAGCGCATTTAGGTGAAGCAACCGCATCGTTCCTATGCAAACAAGCCATGTACTCATCATGGTTTCTGGCGAAGGACGAACTCAATAAGGTGGGCAATATGTATTTCGTGAAATATAACGAAGTAAGCACATAATATTCATGCTAGACTAAACTTGTGAGTGTTGTTGTCGCGGCGCCGTACATGGCCGTAAGCGCATTTTTTTCCGTTTATAGCTATTTGGTATTTTCGAAGTTAAGAAAAGCTTAGAAACATCTAAAGTATATGAAAAGCATTATTGTTTCGTAATCTGTTTAGCTTTTTCTTAGTTCACTTCTACTTGAGAGCTGCATTATTTACGAAGTAATCAGCTCACTATCCCTTATTGGGCGATAACTGTTGTATTAACTAAGCGAGCTAACGCTTTTCAATCCTAGGTCGACAAGCGGGACGACGCATTTTTGAAGAGGTCCTGGCGTCTCCTGTCATTCTATTACGGAAATAGAGACGGCTGGTGTCCCATCGAGTACTTCAAGGACATGCATCGCGATTACCCCCAAGCCGACATTACTCTGTGCAATGAAAATATCGATCATGCCTTCGTTATGGATGAGCGGTCAACACGCCTAATGGCTAAGTATACTGCGGAAAAATGCAAGGGCGTTCTGTAAGCTGAATTCTGGGCGGACGCTGAAGAACGTTTAAAATGATATTCTCTAAAAAGAACCTGAACGAGACAAATTGAATATTGATTGTGCTGGTCAAGTCAGCACTAAAACCTCTCGATAGCTGCACATCAGAGGTAAACAACAAAGAACAGATTTTTTTGTTCCTCAAAGCGCAGTTTAATTGTTTTGCGATACTGATGTGAGACGAAATTCTAACGTTACCTGCTACGTATGACGGGGCAGGACGAGGCCAGTATTAACCAAATACAATTGAAGAGAATACGCCAAGGAAGAATGCTCGTCGACAATGATGAGCGTCGTCATCGATTGCTATTTTAGTTTACTGAATATGCCAGGTCATCCACCGAAGAGGTTGTATCGCGTCTATTGAGGTTGATTTTCGAATAGGGCCGCTCTCGTCCTTCGAAGCCCCGAATTGTGCTTCGAAACTTTGTCCACACAGTGCTAGTGAGTTCCGAATAGACTGGTCATTTTTGTTTTGGATTCGTCTGTGACACTCAGCATAGACCCAGATCTCCAGGAGAGGAAAAGGCAGGTTGTTCCTTAAGCGTTTTCTCTCACTTTATTATTTGTTGGTCGTCCTCTGCCCCCTTCGCGTCAAGGCGTATTTCCTGTACGTCTGCATAAGAATAAATATCATTGTAGTCAAACGCGTAACAAGTAGATTCGTCTATAGGACTTTGCCAAGCAGCAACGCACGATGTGCTTTCGCACTAACAACACTGCGGAATTCTCTGTGCAACGATTGGATACGTCGCAGATAGAAGACCTTAACAAGCGTTCACATAACTTGTCTAACTAGAAATAGATTCAAGTTATGCGTACAAAAAAGAAGAAATATCGATACCTGCAAATATGAAATATTCAATAGAAGACATTACCGTTTGACACAAATTACGATCATTCAGCGACACTAACAAAGCTTTGGAAACGCAAATGTCGCGTGTATAATGCTAGAATATAGTTAGCTATTATGTATCCGGGTAACGGACGGTGACGTGTAGATGAAATGAAAGTAGTTAATGGCCATCCTATAATGCCGCGTCCTCTGCAAATTTACTTGTTATCGCCCACGGCGTAAGAGTCGCGGCTCAAACCAGTTGACGGACTGTCTTATCGTCATTTGTGCTGAGTACACATTGAGACGAAGCACATTTTGTGGAACGTATTCAAAGATCGGACATGAATGCAGAAGTATCTACGTTTATACAGGTATATATATGTAATATTTGGAGACGCAAAGTGTGAAGAAATTCTAACCATCAAAAGGCGCATTAATTTTCTCTAACTTCGTTTTGTTGATGATTATTTTTCATGTCGGTAGGACCATCTGAAAAAAGTTCACGTTTCAATTGTATATTGTACACATAAGGCCGTACATCGCTGTGTATTTTCCATTGAGGCGGCATAGTGATACGGCGAGGTTTCATAGTCTCTTGTATGTATGCATTCATGTCACTTTTAGACATCGCACATAACTCTCGAATCGTACCCGAGCGCTGGCTCAGCGGCTGGCTCGTTTCCTGAGGGCACAATTTTTGTGGCGTATACTTTCGACCCCGGAGGCATAGTAGTAGCGGTAGGCAAGTGTGGTCAACGTAGGGGTGATTTGTTTCCTTGATTTATTGACATTCACTAATGCGTACAAAAACAATATCTACTCTCTCTCTCGCTCTCTCTTTCTCCCTCTTTCTTGCTTGCTTTCTTTCTTTCTCAAGAGCGAGCGAGCGAGAGAGGGAGAAGCAAAATGTATCGACGACTTCCATTTTGAAAACGTTCCCTTTTGTTTCGACGTCGAGACATGTTAATAACTGAACTTTATCATAGATAAGCTTATGATATCTTTTTCTATTTACACAAACTACAAACCTTCTTCTTCCAGTGATTTCTGGAAAATCTAATAATGAGGAAAACACAGGCGGCTACACAATTTTCAGTTGAGATGACAGCCTCTATTAAGAAAAAAAAGGTACCCGCAACCAAAAGCCAATCCTAGAGCAGGCGTTTCAGAATGCCGTCTTTTAACAAGGTTTATTGTGTACACTGTGCTTGCCGCACGTTATTTGTTCGTGATACGTTATTACGCGTACATGTTACGTAGTAAACATATAGTGGATTGAGAATGCCCTAAACCATTTTACGAGTGCCACTTACGTTCGACAAATCCCTCTAGACTAATGTATTGAGGTGTATTTCAGGAATCAGAACCATGCGAGAATATACGATGCGATGGACTACGCCACCTATTTATGATTGTTCTATCCTTCAGTTATATATTATAATTACTGCTTGGAATAATATAAAAATAAAGGGAAACCAATGCATAAGTCAAAGCGTTTTCTGTGAGGAAACTAAATATGTAAAAGTAATTCATATAAATAGCCACAAAGTTAGTGTAACTTTGAAGCTACGTAGTAGTAAAATAAAAAGATAATTATAATTTATCCACACCCTTGCAGTCGATTGTTGTTTACAGTCAAATAGACTCTGATACAGAATCCCGTATCTAGCGATGAATGCTTTCAGTTCATCGATCATACATTGGCATGATTTCGTTAATAAGAAGCGAAAACAAACGGTTCGTTATAGTGAAACATGGTAATTTGCGAACGATCATCTAGATTTCGTCGAGTCACAGGAATTTCTTTCTATTAAAATGTAAGGGACACGTATTCGTTGTTTGTGTCCTTCCACATTTTCTCTACTGAGGACGTCTTGAGAACTCCTAGCACTTCATCATTACTTTATTAAGTATGATTATTATTGTTATTGTTAGAGATTCGAAGTTCAATCCCTAGATTTAATTCGAAGCGTTTCGGCGTCGGATCTCCCTAGGGTACACAATACACAAAAAATGATCTTCATCTAGCTAAGACCAAGTCTCTGTTTAGTGTTGATAAAAAGGAGTGGCAGTTTTCTCGGAAGATCTATGGCAGATCAAATTAATGATAGTTGAACTAGGAGGAACCTGGCTTTGGTCGTGTGTTGGTCAACGAAATACGATTGACGCGCCGCATATTCTTTAGCGTAAAGGCCTGTCGAAAAGGTCGTCGAGCAGCAACGGCATACCTGCAGCGTTGCCCTTGTAGGCTCTATAACCCCTTGATGCTTATCTGATACGAATTGTGATATTTTTCGTTGTGTTTACGAGACGTAGCAAATCCAATCGCTAGCGTCCCGGCTATAGCGAGTTTGGTGAGGAGGCTCTCCTTGAAACGCTCCCGTAACTAACTAGAATACTCCATTGAGTCTATATCGTCACGTCGCAAACACAGACGCCTACTCTGCGACAGGCACTGTTACTCGTTATTGCGGTAGGCGATAGTTAAACTAGACAATTTCGAAATTTCGAGAAACCTGTTTCTATCGTTTCTACTAACGCACTCATGTTGAAGCGACACGAAGGCATCTATTAGGAGACAGGCGCTTTTTCCATAGATCTTCATTGCTATGCTTACAAGAACAGGTTTACAGATCTTTACTCAACAAATCCGAATTCACTCAACAAATAACAATTAGCTTTTATCGTCGATTTATCTTGATTCATTTACAGAACAAAGGTTTCGTCTGATTTATCTTTTTATAATCCCTTCGGCATACAGTATTGATAACTCAGTAGCTGTGCTTCTATTGGAAATGCAATTTACTTATAAACGTTTTCCCTGTACTACCTCATTGATGGCACAGGCTTTTTGTCTCTCACGCGTTTTATTTACATACGTGTTGTCGGTCTATGACGTTTCCGAAATGAACTCTTTCGGTAGTAGCGTGCGCTCCGATCATGAAAATCATGATCGTTGTCGTCATTCTGATACAAAGAAAAAGTGCTATGTCCGAATCCATGTAAATTTAGATAGGGGCCACTTATCTGGCCTCTGAAATGTTGCGGGCTTACCACGAAGAATAGTCAAAATACCTTCGAGGCATTTGAGTTCCGCCAATCTAATAGATTCGTTTACCAAAAGCCAGTAAGTCGACACGTGTCGAGCCTTCGAAAGCATATTACTAATTGATTATTATTTTTGTCCCTCGATGTCTTCAGAGGTTACCTTTGCGTGTTAGCTGATGGCCAGGCACGGCTTACATAGTTCCCTGTTCCCCTTACTCTATTCCTATATTACATTGCTGTGACTTTGACTACATTGCACACAAGTCGTGTCTCCGATCTGTTCCACCTAGTTGAAAATGAAAATGGCGTACATTTGCAATTCCATTTAGCATTACCTGGCCCTATTCAGTCATTATGCTGGATGAAAGCGTATTAAACGATGCTTCCGAACTCTGTACGAAATTTAATTTCGCGAATGGGCCTAAGCCACTACATTTACACTATGGTGTTCCGCCTTCTCGATATGCGGCTATTGGTTACCTCTAGAAAGCACCTCTGTAAATTCGTTTTTTTGTACTGTTGTATCCTGAGATCAGGTCTCAATTGTTATTATACAGGTGTTGCTTGCAATAAACCAGCTCAACAAAAAGTTTCGCTTGTCACTGGTGTTGAGGCTGTCCATGAAGTGGTATATAATTTTCGATTCAGTTACGTTTCCTATACACGAGGTTACGTCGGAACAGATCTGTAATAAATTCAATACCATGTAGTAGTATACCGCCTTGTCATCTCACAACTCGTATTCGGGATATTCAAAATCCGCCACTGAAAACAATAAACGGTAAGAGACACCAGCAGGTAAAATTTTACTTTTCTATGGGGTCATAGACAGAATTCTTTGTTTTTCGCTAAACGTTTTCGTTTGGTGAAAGCGACACTAACCAACTGCCGCCAAACATCAAAAAGGAGAATATAGAACTTTGTGAGAGGAACTGGTTCGATTGGGAAAATATAAACACGTTTCGTTCGATACCCTCTTCAACGCAGTAAGTATGAAAGTTTTGGTAATGAAACAAAAAAGCACTGATATCTGATTTTTTAATATAGTAAGACATGTTCTTGTCGCCTCAGGCGGTATCATTCTGGAATCTAAAAATAGGATAACCGTTCAGTGGATGATGTCACAGTAGCTACGTCGTTATGGACGAAACGGCAAAACCTTTGGATAGTGACAAAAATGTACTGGCCTTTTTTCTTCCTGATTTTTACGGGGCGACATGCTGAAGACGTCGTATCCATAACAGCGTTGAAATGCGCTGGCGTCCCATCGTCGAAACCATATTTTACTCAGAATTACCTGTGAGATAACAGACAACGACTCTCACTAAAAATATGACAGCTTCCATCCTAAAACAAGGCAATGACGCCCAGGAATCTCTAAGGATGGCGTTAATTACCTACGTCTGAACGTCTTAATGAGAGCACAGAGCAAATTCTTTAGTTCTTAAATTATCGGCCTTAAAGACATCGGCCTGTACAAAGAAAACACAAGACGCATGGCTGCGCTACCTGCCTAGAGAAACCTTTTTTTGTGCTTTGCTGATCAGTGCAGGTTTGGCCGGCGTATAGGTGAGCACAATGTCTGCCTATGATGCGATGGCTTCTCTCGCTCAGCAACAAGAAGTCACCGTTATCTTACAAACCCACTATACTTGGCGTTCTTGAGGGTTGTTTGAACACAGATTCCAAACACAATGTAAGTGTTATAGGCAATGACCGATGTACGTTGACGTTTTTTTGTGCGTAACGCCTGCACTAACGCGAATCGAGCAGAAGTCCTGAGGAATATTCACCATATCACATTTAAATAGAACAAAAGACCTTAAAAAATCATACCATTGTTATGATATAATGTGTACTTCTTATTATATAATTAAATTATGAAAATTGATTTAGTTGTTCTCGTATGTTGTATCGCACCTAGTTAGTTGTAACGCTATATCTACAGGTGTTCACTCAGTTCTATATTTAATCAAATATAGGGCTGAGTCAGTGAACTTTAACGTGATCTAGCCATTTGCTGAACTCTGCCATTATACGTTTTCAGTTTGGCTTTCGACGTTCCAAAGGCAAATGAATACTGTTTATGAGCTTATTACGATTTTGACTTTGTCGAAGTACGTTTCTGCAGTACACAACCTCAACACTATGGTGGGCTAGGACATATTCAGGTTTCATAAACGTTGAAAGGGCCTCACTTTCACTAAATACGGCCACTGCATTTCAGTCCCTCCCATCGTCGTTTTTAAAAATCTCATAAGCATG